AGAATTCAATCTCCACAGACGCAATGTATCCCCGCCTGAAACAATAAAACTACAATTTTTACCTGGGGTGACAATAACCTGGGATTCCCTGGACCCTTTTAAACGCAGAAATGACGACGTACCCCTTCACCGTTTCATTATACAAATGGACCCCCAAAAGGATTTTAGGCGCTCTTTACACTACAGAGGAGTTAGGGTGATCTCAGTGTTACCTATTAGCCTCTCCCCTATTTCCCTGCACACAGATCTAAGGCTTATAAGCTTCAAGTACATTCGACGGTCATTAACTGAAGATCAATTAAAAAAAATATTTCATCATATATATTATAGGCATACAGAATGGGGCTATACCCAGTCGTAGAGGAAGTAGCGAAGACCCTGGAAACCGTAGATGGGTTCCGCTTGAGACAGTTATGTGATGTAAAACGCCAACTAGAACAAGACCGTGACACGCGGAAAGCACTATGTAAGAAGTACCATAGAGCTTTCAATATCGTGGTAGGGGCTGATACTGCACTTTTGACAACCAGCATGGACTTGGGGGCGGCAGATGTTGTGTTGTTAGATACCATCGTGGCTACACCCGTAGTGCTAGGCATCGAAATAACAGCTGGGGTGGCAGGGGTGTTAGGGTTGGCGCTTAAGTTTGCATCACGCAGACTGCATCGTAAGGCGTTGAAACACGACGAGTTCAGGGTTCTGGCTGAAGCAAAGCTGAACACGGTAAGTGAGCGTATTTCCACGGCACTCACTGACAACAAGATCTCGGAGGAGGAGTTTCGTTCAATCCTCTCTGAACTCGAAAAATATAACAAAATGAAACAAGAGATTCGATCCAAGTCTCGTAAGTCTGCTATCAGCGAGGATGAGAAAAAAAAGTACATAGAATAGGGAGTACAAAAAGACAGGCAAGCCTTTATTACAAACACCAAAGAGATTATAGGTGATTCACATTAAACTGTTTCATCGAGGTAAACCTGGCATAGCGGCACGTTAGACACAGCCCAGCATTGGATGATGCAATCCCAGGATAGACCCCTTAAACCGACACACTTCAGCTAAGTCCCCAGTAGCTCAGTTGGTTGAGTAGTGCGGTTGTGAGGTATACATGTGGGGTTTGTATCCCGCTGGCGTCTCAACTTTTTATAAGATCGGAAAAGCAGTAGGGGTAACGGTAGCTGGATCAAGGGTCCGGCCAAAGCCTTATTTCACAAATAAAGCTTTGCAGGGGCTTTTATTGGACTTGGTCCAAAACCCCCATTCCCTAAACTGCTATCGCTTTTAGAATAAAACACTCCCAGTTTGTACATGTTGAATTTTTATATAATATATAATATATACATCCAATATGTACGTGACGCTTCCGGGAATAATGAGCAGTGAGGCCGTTCAACTGCTGCACGCGATCGATCACACGCCTGGCCAACTAGAAGTCGCACTCTGCGATATCACCTACTACCCTTGATGGACCAACATCAACAGCAAAAACAACAGCCGGTTCGTCAATAATGTCCACAACCAAATAACGGACGGCTACTACAGCGTGTGCTCTCTCAACGAAGAAATCTTCAAACCTGTGGGGGACGAACTCAAAATGAATGACTCGAACGCCACGGTCGTGTAAGTCAACAACGCAGAAAACACTTTGAGACTCAGCCATTGACTTAAACGCTCAGGTTTACGACATTCCACCAAAAACCAACGTGACCAGCACGAAATTACCCGATCTTGTTACATAAGTTGAACTGTGCATTCATCTCGATCAGCTGAGCACAAGCAACAACGTTCAAGGTGAACGCCCTTCCACGCTGTTGAGAGCCGTACCGGTGAAAACGGAAAAGTATAACGATTGCAGAACCGAATCGTTTTCGTCACGGCAGTACAAGAAATTAACCCGAGGCACCATCTATGAATTAAAAGTATCTATTTTAGATATAAAACATAATCCTGTGAATATAGGATACCTCAGCGTAACGCTGCTCATACGATAATGACTAGCGTCCAAGGTCCCGGAATGCGATTGAAAAAATGCGTTAATATAGCGGTCTCCGACCTCAGGGACACGCGCGGATTCGACGAACCAGGAATAGACGGTAAACTGTACACCTTGCAACTGAAAAACAATATTTACAAACGCGTCGAAGTCCCCGCCGTCGGTAGATCTGGCAGTAACTTAGACGATATCGTTGATACATCAAGAGCTGTCAGTAACACTCGGTACAACTTAGTTCGCAATGACGAGGATGAATGGATGATATACCCAGCGTTCGGCGGCAAGCTGTTCGACTAAAACGACGTCGAGACCCCGGTCGTCGTTCGAAACAAGCAGTATGCCCTCGTCTTCACCGACAACAACGAATTGATTTTAACTCAACATCACGCTCGGCTCTCCCTACGTGTTCACTGAAAACAAAGACCACTACCTAAACAAAGTCGTGAACAACGGAACCCTGCTCATGGCTTACGTCCTGACGCATAGGCGCAGTGTAATCATCAGCGCAGTCTCAGATATGGCAGCCCACATGCTATCGAGTAAACCCGGGGAGCAAAACGTGGGGTTGGGTGTCTGAATGCGAGGGCGTTGTCAACATCCTGGAAAGTCTACCGGCGAATTCCACGCTGGTCATCCAAGTCTGCCTCGGTGAACCATCATCACCAGTCGAAATCGTGAAAGGAATCAAACACCGGTGGACCAAACAACATCAATATCACGTTTGTTCTGTTTACGTGCCGGTGAACGTCGATTCCCACACCAGTCTGCAGGGAGTCACCGTGACCATGGAAGACACAATATCACTCACCAAAATTTTCCTACCCGACAACGTACATCTCATGGTGTTGATGTGCACACCTGAGAAATTATCAGAAAAACAATTGGAAACTATTATATAACGTTTTATATAGACGATGAATCATCATCCCAACGTCACACTCGGTGATTTAGGAGACACGGAGGGGTTCGATCTGCCTGATGATGAAAACACCTGGTACGTCCTACATTTGAAAGACAACGTGTAGGAGCGGGTGCTGCTGGCAGACTTTAAAGAGCCCGAATGGTTGATCAACGTGACCCTCACCGCACCTCACATCTCTTTAAACAAAAATAGGTATGTGTCCGAAATTAGGAACAACGGCGTCTTTCTCGCGTCTTTCATTCCGAATTTTGATAATATAATGGTTGACCAAGTACCACATAACACGTGCAACATGTTAGTTTCAAACGGGGATTCAAGTTTAAGGTTTGACTTACCCGATCACCTATCAGATCTTATGACTATTTTAACCAGGCTCCACACTGATCATAGTCTTTCTCGATTACACTGCTAGTTGGGGGGGTTCACACCAACAACTTTTACCTGGGTTGACAATACATTGGGAAGAGGGGCCACACGTTGCCGTATCGTCATACAACTGGGATCGGAACCTTTACTGAGATTTATACCACCCTTAATAATTACCCCCCATAGGTTTCGTATAGACCAAGATTTACCTATTAGCCTTTCCCATATTTTCCTGTACGAGGATCTAAACCTTATAAGTCTCAAATACACTGAGCAACCATTAAATAAAACACAATTAAAAAATCTCTTATAAAATATATATATATATGTACACAGGATGGGGCTGTACCCAGTCGTAGAAGAAGTAGCGAAGACACTGAAAACCGTAGATGGGTTTCGTTTGAGACAGTTATGTGACATAAAACGCCAACTAGAACAAGATCGCGACAAACGGACAGCAATATGTAAGAAATACCATAGAGCTTTCATTTTCGTGTATGGGGCTGATACCACCCTTATGGCAACCAGCATGGGATTAGGGGCGGTAGGTGTCGGGTTGTTAACCACCATCGTAGCCGCACCTATAGTGCTAGGCATTGAAATAACAGCTAGGGTGTCAGGGTTGGTGGGGTTGGTGTTTAAGTTTGCATCCCGCAGATTGCATCGTAAAGCGCTGAAATACGGTAAGTGAGCGTATTTCCACGGCACTCACTGACAGTAAAGTCTCCGAGGAGGAGTTTGGTCCTCTCTGAACTCGCAAAATATCACAGAATGAAACAAGAGATTCGGTCCAAGTCTCGTAAAAGCACTGCAATCAGTGAAGACGAGAAAAAAAGTACATAGAACAAGGGATACAACAAGCCCAACAAGCTTTCACTACGAAAACCAAAGAAATCATAGGAGATTCACATTAAATTGTTTCGCTGAGATCAACATTATATACTTTATTGATGTGAAAATTTATTGCTAGGACAAAAAACACTTACCCCCCTGTCGAGTGACCACAATAGTGCACGTGACCAGGAAGTGTTGGCTTGAGTCAAAGGCCGCGTGACCAGGAAAATGCAACTTCGCGGAAATTGTGACCAGGAAGTTGGCTGGGGATTCAAAAGTGGTATGCACACTAGCGGAGAGAGACAAGGGCCTGATAAAAATAATGAATTTGAGTTAATATACATGCTTAATAAATCAACAAATATTAACATATGTTGGTATATTATGATCATCAACACGAAGATGGCTTCCAGTAAGTCTTCACTTTGAAAGGGAGAGCAGATAAACAAGAAAGATCATTACCATTTAATTCTATGATATATGCAACTTAATACACCACATTTACACAGTGAAAATATATTTACAGGAAAATAGAAATACATTGGAATTTCTGGCCAAGGTAATCTGTATAAACAGATTTTCATTAATTGTAATTTGTATATATAATGCTCAGATTTATTTAAGTATTAAGTATCTCTTGAGAGGTAGACACATAGAACAGTATATCCTGATGGGGAAATAGGGAAAGTAGACTGTATGTATAATTTTATTCACATATTTTAATTTTAAGATGATAACCACACCATAACCTCCTTCGTCGGGCAGTTAATAGAAGACCTAGGGCTTCTGCAAATGATAATGCCCTCAAAAATAGCATTACCCTTATAATAAACTTTAGTTGAACCATAATGAACAAAACAGCTTAAAATTACTTTAAATAGCATCATGTTTCACAAGGTATTTGAATCCAGAATTATTCTCCCTTACATCATAACACAAAATACAGAGTTTAATTTAAGTACAATTCCTCTGTGAGTGACACTGACAGATTGCTTCAAATACGTTTGGTTACCTGCGCTGTCTTACTGAGGGAAAAAATATGAATACATGGTATAAACCAGTAATTGTTTTCCAAATGCCAGAAGGTGTAAAACAAGGGCTTTCCTGTGAGGAAAGCTGGAGCATTATCTATTTTAGTTTTGCAGAGTTACAACCCATGCAGAGCTACTTGGTACAAGCTTGTTAATTCTAACATATTGCATAGAATTTCCTTCAGAAAGATTTGATTTACTTGTTGGTAGCAATGGTTATCCCTAAGCCTAATAGAGGTGTGACGATACAGAAATTTTACGATGCGTATCGCGATATCATAGAACGATACGATTCGATACGATGCATGTCACGATATGCTATCTTTATAACATATGTTATATTTGGGATTACACTTTCTTAGTAAAGTACAAATTCTAGTACTTTTTGAGTTGAGCCCCATCCGGGATTCGAACTCACACCCTCAGAGTCAGGCACCTAATCGCCAGCACACAAAGTCATCCGCCTAACCCACTCAACTACCGCGACTTCCACAAAAATGGAAGTCGGACAACTGGTAGTCTAGACTGCCGGCTTCGTGTACCCCTCTGATAAGTGTAATCATGCTATCTTTAGTTATTTTCTTTTAAAAAGTGTATTTTGATAACAAGAAACAGTGTAAATTTTTATATAACCGTCAATTTCTGGTAAAAATTCACAATTTAAAGGTCAACGATATATATCACGATACGGAAAAAAGGATTGATATATTTATTGTCAGAAAAAGTATCACGATTATCGATACTACGATATATCGTCACAACTCTAAAGCCTAATAAACCAAATAGGGATTAAATGGTTATTTTTTAATTGTGAAGTGGTTATGTGATCACAATGATATTAAAGGATGCTTGATCGGAAAGAGGATCCACACAAATTAACACAACTAGTCCTAAGGCACAGAGATAGAACAGACCAGAGCTGTGAGTTCTGTCGAGTAAACTGTAGTTTTTGCCAAACTTAAACTTTCTCACCTTTGGTGAGTATGGCTAGTTTGCTTCTGCAATGCTATACATCAAGGGGTTTTTCACATACTAAATATTTAGACATTGCTTGATGTGTTTTTAGGTCAGACGAATAAAAGGCCGTCGGAGGTTGAAAAGTAAACAGAAGAAGGAATTTGCTGAGTCCAAAACTGAAGAGAAAGTAGATGCGGGGGACACCATAGATGGAGGCGTGGCAGGGTATGAGTCAGCTGATACAAGAGAGGCGGTTGCTACACCACAGACAGGTGATGGGCATTCAAGAAAGAGGAAACAGAAAGGTGACAATGTCGGAAATACGACTAAGAAGACGAAGAGTGGACATGGTGGACAGGTGGTTTCATCGTTGTTCAGATACAATCCGGATATACCTAAAGTTGTCAGGTACGTTGATGTCTGCCTGACATATTTAATAGGGATAGGAGATAAAACCAGTAAACCGGTATATTGCAATTTGAACTTCACAATATGATATATTGCTGTACACTTTTCGCAAACCGGGTCACCCGATGCGATCGGCAATTGGCATGACCATGATCGATAATTTTCGTGATGTGAGTGAGTATAGTTTTACGCCACACTCAGCAATATTCAAGCTATATGGTGGCGGTCTGTAGATAATTGAGTCTGGACCAGACAATCCAGTGATCAACAGCATGAGCATCGATCTGCGGAATTGGGAACCGATGGCATGTGTCAACCAAGTCAGCGAGCCTGACCACCCGATCCCGTTAGTCGCCTCTTACGACAAGACAAAGTTCATGTTCCAGTGCACTGCTAATCTCCTGCCTGTTACCTATTTCATACAATGGACCATTCCAAACACTTGGAAATTAAGAGAATGATTTTAATGAGCAATAAGGAAACTAAGAGTTTGAGATAACAAAAACAGTTTAATAAAAGTTCAATAATATTCAACTTGAGGTTTAATTAAGTTCATTAAATATCATAACATCATAACATATGAAATGTTTTTATGTTTTATTTTTCTACATATTACCTGTCACCCTCAAGCAAATTGCTTTTACCATGTTCCAGCCTCACAATCCCCATTTTGTTTCACTTTTTATCTTGGTACTTTGCAAAATCTGCAATAAATGCATCACAAACCTCATCTCCAACACTATTACAACTGATATTATTACGATTTGCAAATTCTGTCTACTTACAATGTACACCAGGAAGCTAAAAAATCCTAGTTCAGCATTTAATTCATCTAAATTATGTAAAATGAATTTTTAAAACACTACCAACAACAGCACCTGTATACTCTGTGCAGCTTAATCTCACACTGTATACCCCACCCCATAATCTCTCCTTTGGGTCAGTTCATTACCAGACAGGTAAATGCCGCGTGTTGTTTTAACTTATTGTAGGGGTACTGGGCTGCTGGGATTATGTGATGTAGGGGTACTGGGCTGTAGGGGTTATGTGATGTAGGGGTTATGTGATGTAAGGGTAATGGGCTGTAGGGGTTTATGGGCTGTAGAGGTTATGGGCTGTAGGGGTTATGAGATGTAGGGGTATTGGGCTGTAGGGTTTATGGGCTGTAGGGGTCCTGGGCTCTATGGGTTATGGGCTGTAGGGGTACTGGGCTGTAGGGGTTATGGGCTGTAGGGGTACTGGGCTGTAGGGGTTATGGGATGTAGGGGTACTGGGCTGTAGGGGTTATGGGCTGTGGGGGTTATGGGATGTAGGGGTACTGGGCTGTAGGGGTTTTGCGAGACAACCGTTACTGAAGGCCAATATTCTAACCCGGACCTTCACAGGTCTTTCGTGATGTAGTCAAAAATACTAATAACATTTGTATTTCCTTCATATTATTATACATTAATAGTTTTGATAAGTTTATTGGTCATATAATTGCATTTGCGTGACTTTTAAACCATTTAAATAAAAATAATAGAATTTGTTCCGGTGCTATTTGTTGGGATAAACAAACCAAAATAGGGGACGCCGCTTTTCCTTGGGTTCCAAACTTTAAAGCGAAGTCTTCATTTTAGAAACATTTTCAATTGATAGGATAAACGGTATAAGCACCTATACCAAAACGTCGCAATAGAACAATAAAGAAGTTGATCATCCATAAACATTTGTCATTACTATTGCTTACAACTTCTAGAATGCCTCGCAAACAGTTCATTTTCAATTGATCTCTTGTACAATCTATACTAATCTGAGTCCTGACAGTGGCCAGTGGCATTGTTTCAAAAGAAAGGAAACAGTAATTCCAGTAACTTAGACCATGTGTTACACTGTCACATTATATTTGCGATAAATATTGTAATACGCAAACACATATAGTATGACCAGAAATTATTGAGAATTTTAGGTATGTGTTTAATTGGATTTCTAGTATAAACAACCTTTTACCAGCTATCAAGTGCTTGGTTTCATTCAAGAGAGACACTCCGTTAATCCTTTTTCATTAGTTTGTGAAGAGTTATCTCCCTTTGTTTACTTGCTAGCAGACGACATTTTCAGTGATCCTCAGTATGGATGATTTAGAGAAGAGGAAGTTGATTTTAGAGTATTATGACAAGGACATCAGATCAGCTAAAGTGATTTAAAGTAGAACAGGCATCCCTTTGTCCACTGTTTATCGTGTTTTGAAAATTATTACAAATGGATATTGCATTGAGCACCAGGGAGGAGCAGGTAGGCCCAGAAAATTGACTGTCGGTGACAGGAGGCGTCTTGGTATTCTTGTTTCTAAAAACAGACGAAGGAGTTTAGAAAACTTAAGGATGGATATGATTGATAGAGGAACTGTGGCTGTCTGTAAGGAGATAATTAGAACTGAGCTGCATGCAATGAGTTGGCAGACAAGTTGAGGAAATCCATCACCGATCATGAAACGTGAACAAAAGGAGCGAAGGTTGACCTGGTGCTTACAGCATAGAAATTTTAACTGGGACAATGTGATTTTCTCAGATGAAAGTTCTGTGTGGCTGTTTCCTAATACACTGAAATTCTGGACCAAACAAACTGAAAAACCTTTGTATCAGCGCTCAAAGTACAGTCCGAAATTGAACGTGTGGGGTGGCATATCTGTGTTAGGGGCAACGCCCCTCTGTGTATTTGAAGGGAATATGAACAGTGAGCGGTACACAGATATTCTCGAGGGACATTTACTTCCATCTGCTCACGTGTTCTATGGATCTTTTTTGGATTTTCCAGCAGGACAACGACCCAAAACATCTTCAAAGCATTCACAGGCCTGGTTTCGGACCCAAAATATGACATTATTAGATTGGCCAAGCTATAGCCCTGACCTAAATCCAATAGAAAATGTTTGGGGACTTATGAAGGAAAGTGTCAATAAGAAAAATCTGACAAATATTGCTGAAATGAAAGAAGAGGTGGTCGATATTGGGACAGCATGGACCATGACGATCTAATTTCCTTGATCAGTAGTATGCCCCGCCGCATTGAAGCCTGCATTGCTGCCCATGGTGACTTGACAAAATACTAACTGTTCACCTGTCTTTGAATCTGTAGTTATGTTCTGCTAATATTCACATTTAATATGTGAGTAGTGAGTGACTTTTTAAAAAAAAATTACAATCTTTAACCCATTCAACACCGCAGGCCGCTTTTAAAAGCTGCTACAACATTATGAGTCCCCAGGCAGTAGATCACGTCAAAATGAGACATAATTTTAGGAACTTACCTGACTTATGATTCATATTTTAAATCCATCACATTTCATAATGTCTGAAAACACATTATCGGCAGAATTAGAATTATAAACTATTTTTCGCAATGTTATTGAAAACAACGATTCTCGGACACATGCTTCGGCAGCGGGTCCACGAAGACATTGGCAAAGAGTAAAGTAACGATGTTTCGAGGAAATTATTAAATAAATTGAATAAACTAATGAATAAAATCAACAACAGCATTATAAAAGTTGTCAAACGTACATATAAAATTACTATTTCCATCTTTTTTGTGCGATCATGTAATGCAAGTCAAGTCACTGACAAGTGACATCTTGGCTCTCGCCGCCTCAATCTTCACGCTCGGAGACGATGTTTAATGCGAAAATATATGCATGAAGCATTTTTGTCACAGGTCATAAGCTAGCGCGATAGTCCAATAAGTCCCATACTTTACGTATATGTAGCGATTTCTTGCTTAATAAGTTCAGAATAGCATTATTTTACCAAAAACTTTCGTCTAAATCTAAACGTTTTCGTGTACGAGGACGGTATCCATTGCCGTAACAGGATTAGCTGCCTTAGGTCACGTGTCTGGTTTTGACCAATCACGACCCTTATAGCAGACTGTGGCGAAAAAGCGTCATTAGAAACCAATCTTTATCCAATAAAATCGCTTCTTACAACTGTGAAAATACTCTTGGCAAGGGTACAGTGATATTTTTTATGTCCAGAGCTTTCGAACGATACCCGACATCAAACGATTTGCCTCGTATGCTATTCATACGAAGCCTCGAAAACGGAGGTATTTTCCGTTGTTGTGTCCTGTTACCGAGCGGAAAGCCACTGATATCGGGAAATAAGTGACCATACATATTATTTAAGAAATCTTTTTATAATAATTTTCGGATTACGTAAAAAAGAAAATATGAAAGAAAAAGGCAAGGGCATGTTATGACATGTCACAAATGGAAAAAAAACGCCATAGTGTTTTCTTCTTTCGTGGCTTATTGGACATTATAAATGTAAACTTGCATTTTCATTAATTTATTTAAGTTGTAGTTGTATTATTTGAATTATATTATAAAGATATAAACTTCATATTTATCAACAGTGGGATTAGATCTTTTAAATGGTGTATGAGATGTAGTAGAAGTAACGTTTTACAAGCATATAATTTCCTTCATAAACATAGGCTTCCTCAGAGTCTCTGGGAACTCGGTGTCATGGCAGTAAACGCCTCTGGTTGACTGGTGTTGAAAGAGTTAAATTCTCAATAATTTCTGGTTGTACTGTATCACAATATATCACAATACGAAAATTTTGGCAATACCCAACATTTACAGGTAGTATTGGAATAAGTGAAGGAAAGGCATCCACATTTTGACATGCTTGGATCATGTTTCTGTAGGGGAATTCGGGAATATGTTACAACACTCAGTGTCTCAATGGAGTGTTTCTGTTTCAGCTCGAAAGTAACAGAATTGAAAGAAGATGTGTTTTCATCAGATTCCTTCAGTCATCTCTCTCTCAACCCCTTCATGGTGAGATTGTCATTACCTTGTTAACATGGTGGGATTGTAATTGGCTTGTTAACATGGTGAGATTGTCATTGGCTTAACATGGTGAGATTGTCATTAGCTTAACATGGTGAGATTGTCATTAGCTTAACATGGTGAGATTGTCATTAGCTTAACATGGTGAGATTGTCATTAGCTTGTAAACATGGAGGGATTGTAAATGGCTTGTTAACATGGTGAGATTGTCATTAGCTTGTTAACATGGAGAGGTTCAAATACTGATGTCGTCATGGTGAGATTGTCCTTATGATGTTGATATGGTGAGATTGCCTTTATGATGTCTTCATGGTGAGATTGTCATTAGGATGTCAACATGGTGAGATAATGCTGATGTCACAATGGTGAGATTGTAATGGTGAGGTTGAAATACTGATGTCGACATGGCGAGATTGCCCTTATGATGTTGATACAGTGAGATTGTCATGATGTCGTCATGGTAAGATTGTCATTAGGATGTCAGCATGGTGAGATAATGCTGATGTTGACCTGGTGAGGTTCAAATACTGAAGTCGTCATGGTGAGGTAATGCTGATGTTGGCATGGTGAGATTGCCATTATGATGTCGATATGGTGAGGTTAACATTAGGATGCTGCATGGTGAGATTGTCATTAGGATGCCAGCGCGGTGAAGTTGTAATGCTGATGTCAGAATGGTGAGATTGTAATGGTGAGGTTGAAATACTGATGTCGACATGGCGAGATTGCCATCAAAATCAGATTGTCATGCTCATGTGAACATACTGAGGTTGTAATGCTGATGTTGACATGGTGAGATTGTCCCTATGATGTCGATATAGTGAGATTGTTATTAAGATGTCGATATCGTGAGATTGTAATTAGGATGGCAGCATGCTAAGGTTGTAATACTGATGTCGATTATGATGTTGACTTTGGTGAGATTGTAATGTTGATGTCAACATGGTGAGATTGTCATTATTGATTTGACATGATGAGATTGTCATGTCAACAGGTACATGCACTGGAAGAAAGGCTGCAGCTGACACAGATGAAAGCTGTACAGCAACCTATCCCCACAATCCTGCAGGGTCACAACGCCCATCAAGTCACAGACTGGCTCCCAGTAAGGTCAGGTGACAGACTGGATCAGGTAGGTTAGGTCAGCAGACTGGCTCAGGTAGGTCACGTCACACACTGGCTCAGCAGGTCTGCTTCCTCACAGATTGGCTCAGGTAGGTCAGGGTCACACACTGGCTCAGGTAGGTCAGGTCACAGACTGGCTCAGCTAGGTCAGGTCACACACTCTGCTCAGCTAGCTCAGGCTCACAGACTGGCTCAGATAGGTCAGGGTCAGTGACTGGCTCAGATAGGTCAGGTCACAGACTGGCTCAGCTAGGTCAGGCAGCACACTGGCTCAGCTAGGTCACACACACTGGCTCAGGTAGGTCAGGTCACACACTGTCACACTCTCCTCCTAGGGGTCAGGTCAGGTCACAGGTGCGACTGGCAGGTCACACACTGGTTCAGCTAGGTGAGGTCACAGACTGACCACTGGCTCAGGTCAGGGTCACAGACTGGCTCAGCTAGGTCAGGTCTCAGATAGGTCAGGTCACAGACTGGCTCCAGGTGGTCTAGGTCACAGACTGGCTCAGCTAGGTCAGGTCACACACTGGCTCAGCTAGGTCAGGTCACAGCTCACGTAGGTCAGGGCACAGACTGGGTCAGATAGGTCAGGTCACAGACAGCCAGCTAGGTCAGGTCACAGACTGGCTCAGCTAGGTCAGGTCACACACTGGCTCTCCAGGTAGGTCAGGTCACAGACTGGCTCAGGTAGGTCAGGGTCACAGACTGGCTCAGCTAGGTCAGGTCACAGACTGGCTCAGCTAGGTCAGGTCAAAGACTGGCTCACACAGGTCAGGGTCACTCACTGCTCAGGTCAGGGTCAGGTCACACACTGGCTCAGCCAGGTCAGGTCACACACATGCTCAGTTAGGTCAGGTCACACACTTGTTCAATGCAGGTCAGGTCACACTCCTCATGCAGGGTCAGGTCAGCCTCACTGGCTCAGGTAGGTCAGGTCACAGACTGACTCAGGTAGGTCAGCTCACACACTGGCTCAGGTAGGTCAGGTCACAGACTGGCTCAGGTAGGCTCAGGTCACAGACTGGCCTCAGCTAGGTCAGGTCACAGACTGGCTCACAGCAGGGAGAGGTCACAGACTGGCTCAGCTAGGGGTCAGGGTCAAAGACTGGCTCAGCTAGGTCAGGTCAAAGACTGGCTCAGCTAGGTCAGGTCACACACTGGCTCAGCTAGGTCAGGTCACACAATGGCTCAGCTAGGTCATGTCACACTCTCTCAGGTAGGTCAGGTCAGAGACTGGCTCAGTTAGGTCAGGTCACACTCTCTCAGCTAGGTGAGGTCACAGACTGGCTCAGCTAGGTCAGGTCAGAGACTGGCTCAGCTAGGTCAGGTCAGAGACTGGCTCAGCTATGGTCACGACACACTCTCTCAGGTAGGTCAGGTCAGAGACTGGCTCAGGTAGGTCAGGTCAGAGACTGGCTCAGGTAGGTCAGGTCAGAGACTGTCTCAGCTAGGTCAGGTCACAGACTGGCTCAGCTAGGTGAGGTCACAGACTGTCTCAGCTAGGTGAGGTCACACTGTCTCAGGTAGGTTAGGACACAGACTGGCTCAGCTAGGTCAGGTCACAGACTGGCTCAGCTAGGTCAGGTCACACTCTTTCATATTGGTCAGGACACAGACTGGTTCAGCTTAGGTCAGGTCAGTCAAAGACTGGCTGGTCAGAGTTAGGTGCAGGTCAGGTCACAGACATGCTCAGGTAGGTCAAGTCAAAGACTGGTTCAGCTAGGTCAAGTCAAAGACTGCCTCAGCTAGGTCAGGTCAAAGACTGGCTCAGCCTTTGAACCGGTTGAGGCATCAATGGAGGAGAACCGACCAGAGGAATCTGAAATTCGTGGAAAGAGTTGACTGAAGGAAGCGGTCTTCCAGTATCGTCCAGTTGAGTGCATAATCTCCAAGCCTTCCGCCGACTGGTGAGTCTACCACTGGCACAACTGGAGGCGGAAGTTCCCAGTCATGCAGCAATGTCACAGAGTCACTACTTCGAAGATCCCAACACATAGGGCTGTACGGTCCTGGCAATGCCACGAGAGCTGGCGAAATAGTGTTGCTGTCATCTGGGACGTCCATGAGAGAAAGATCGTCCCCCCAAAGGGACCTGAAGATGTGGAGCGTAAATTCGGATTGCTCGCAACAGATTGTTGCAACGATTCCTCTACCTGTATACTAGTGGTGGTCCGATTAATTGAAATAATCGAAGATTGGTCTGATGACTAAATGACCAAGCAATCAATCATAATTTCTTATAATTGAACACAAACAGTTCTGGAACACTTGTTCTACATCAACAATATTTTCACATGGTTGGTTTTGTCTGTTACATTTCGTCAAAGCACTACAAGCTCGTTTCAAGTCATGATTGAATTTATCTTAAAGATTCCAAGAAATTTATGTTCCTAACATACTAGTCATCCTTTAAAGATGTGGAATTTGGCCAAAACCCCCAAAGAACTACAGTGAAGCCTTGTTAATGTTAATGGTCCAGACTATTTGAATGGTCGGACTACTGAATCAAGACCCAAGTTCTCAAAAGTTAACAAGAGTTCATCTTGTCATCTCCATGACACCGAGTGTTTATTTTTGCGCCATTTAAGTAAAACATCGCCGGAGGTGTTCAAAACGTTCGCACCGACTTTCAGCCGACCGGACTGTGAAGCAATTTACTGTTTATTTTATTGATTGGTGACAGCTACTTACCGTCCGGTTCCGGAAACCAAATTTCCGGTTATCGAGGCAAATTATATAGGCATAGATTGGTAACAAGCTGAAATCGTCCGGGAGGCGAGACATCCGGAATATCGGGGTCCACACTAACGAGGCTTCACTGTACATATTTTGTCCTTATTTTTATGTGCATTAACAAATTTCATAAATGACGCTAACCACTTGTTTGATGATCGACCAGTAGTAATGAACCAATCATCAGTTATGAGATTTTAACCAATTCCCAACACTACTGCATAATGCTCGAAACTTCAGGAGTTGAACTCTGAAGTTGTTTATCTTGCACAGACTTTATAGAGCAATCTCTGGTGGCCCCATTAAAGAGTGTGCATCCAGACCAGGTTAATAAACAGGTCCGTTTTAGACCCATCCTCCAACCACGGATAGATTCAGTGGTACCCTACACCTGACAGCCCAGGTAGGAGAAAAGTGCTCAAACCTAATACTTGATCCAGTACTGTCAGGAACTGCTCATGCATCAGAACCATGGCAAATCCAAGTGACACAACTCCCTATTTTCTACTAGAAGCAAGTGTAATCATGTTGTTTGAGTCCCTAACAAAGCAAGGTCATCATCAATTGAGGATACATGGTGATGGGCGGGAAAATGCCCTGGTCACATGTCGAAGAGGAAGGCAGATCTGACGGACACCTACTCCTGGGTAAGTTCTGTTATCCGCAATCCACGTCAGCAGTTGGGGTGTTATTTACTGCATCTGAGGTAGATGAGACAGAAGGATTAGAAGGCATGGCAGAAGTGAGTGCTTCATCCAATGAAGGACTGGACGATGGTTCATGCAAACCCAGAGGAGTAGCAGTCAGCAGGGAGGATCCGACCTAAGGCAGAGGCTACTGCTCAAACAATTGAGTCAAAGTTGAAAGGCTGGGAACCAGCACTGTCTCTAGAAGGATCCCAAGAAACCAGAATAATCGGACGGGAGGATGTAGACTAAACAGTCACAGGAGCTGAACCGGCAAAGTAGATGACGTTGTAGATGGGAGTGATGTCACACCTGGCCGGAGAGGGACTGTCACCTTGAAGTGAAACAGCCACAAGTCTGAAGTGCTGGAGTTAGAGGGATCGCCATAAACAAGCTCGCACTACAAAAGTGACTGTAGACATGTTAATTTGCTGAGCCAGGAAAGAGAGATACACTGCCAGTAGGTGCTGACATTGCCGTGTTTAGAAAGTGTCACTTAAACTGGGACTGTCATCGATGTATGAAGCACTGTGATCAGCTGTCTCAACACTGTATCTGGGGCCTGAAGCGGCTTAAACTCGCTGAAGACCCGCATGAAGATCCGGGTAGAAGGGTCTTCAGCAACCCATGTAAGCTTGCCATAAAAAGGCAACTATCTTGTCGTCAGAGGCACTAACAGGACGGTCGGTTTCGCTGACTTGTTGACACATGGCCGGGTTCCCAATCGCGCAGATCGATGCTCATGCTGTTGATCACTGGATTGTTCGGTCAGACTCGATTATTTACAGACCGCCGAATAGCTGGATATATTGCTGAGTCGTAAAACTAAACTCACTCACTCACCACTTAAACTCGCTGAATGGTGATACAACATCAAGAAATCACCACGTCCGTGATGGTGATGACGGCGGCTGTTCAGAGGGCCTCTAACGGTCCCTGTCTGCCACTCATCTTGTGCCCACTCTACGATAAGCGGTGAATGATTCATCATCTAATCTGCCAAAATATGAGCAATGGCTAGACCATTCAGACCAGTCATACAATCAACACACAGTGTGTGAGGATCAGCAGCAGAGAAATTACTTCTGCATAGTCACAGTGTTTTCTTCCTGAAAGATTGGTTACTTTATCTCATGATGAAACATAAGAGACTACTGCAGACAGAGCATAACACACGTCCACCTCTGTAGGCAACAAGAAAGAGAATGACAGTAGTGGGACGCCACGCGGACCATCTGAGTGCTTTAGCTTCACAAAGATGATTGACAGGTCCAGCTATAGGAGCAGGGAGCAATCGGGTGGGAGAGAGGCCAGAAGATTTGATTCAACTTAGCCTTACAGCACATATCCACGCTTAGTGTTGGGAATTGGTTGAAATACACAATCGATGATTGCTTCATTACCAACTAACAATCATCGAGAAAAATTTGTTAGCGTCATTTTTCAGATTTTCCTATCCAGGTTGTTATTGCAGATATGTATAACATGATGCAACTTGCTACTTTAAAGTGATGACTTATATATCATGAACATAAACTGCCTGCAGTCTTCAAGAAATATTCAGTCATGGCTTTTCAGTTAGTGAAGTGAGTTTTCTATTAATTAAACACGTTATCAGGCACTGACAACTTTAAAGAAATGTTCCATTGTCAAGTATTTCAAAGACTAAAACAATAGTTCAAAAATCGTTTATGTTCAATTATGAGAAAATGTGATCGATTGCTTGGTCATTTGGTCGCTGCGACCAATCTTTGAGTATTTCACTTAATCGGAACACCACTAATCCAGGCCATAGTCGAAGTGAGAGAGAGTAGTGCATACCGTGAGATAGGATAAGTTTAAAAATTATTCATTTTCTAAATCTATACACAATCATACAACATGGTTCCAACAGTACAACAGTATAACCCCAAACTAGAATATCTCCTACATTTTCAAAAAGTGTATGATGCCCAGCTGTGAATATATCCGACGTTTGTTAAGGTAGGACACCCCGTCTTAGGGGATGATGAATGGTTCCTGGAGGACTAGTGTCAGAAACTGCTTGGCTACATGGGAACGTTTATTGCGATACAGTCCGTCATCGGTATCTCCTGGAAACTTGACAGGATTTGGGTTAATCATATTCCTGGAACCACACATTCTGGATAGGTGTAGTTGAATAGGTGACAAAGAATTTAAACTTTCATAGTGTTTAATTCTGATGCAACAATAAGAAATATTTTACAAGAAGAACCTTCTCCAAGAGTGATCACTATGTTCAGCAACAGCAATATTCACCACCAGAAATTAGGAAGCAACAGTGAGTGTGTGTTTAGTGTTAGGCCGCTTATAGCAATATTCCAGCAATATCACAGTGAGGTACACCAGTAATGGGCTTAACACTTTGTGCCCATGTAGGGAATCGAACCCGGGTCTTCAGTGTGACAAGCGGATGCTTTAATCACAAGGCTACCCCACCTCCCAGGGCAGCAACAGCAATATTCACCACCAGCAATTCCCATGTTGAGGAAGTCAGCAGCAGCAATATTCACCACCAGCATGTTGGGGAAGTCAGCAACACCATCAGCAACCACTATGTTCACAAACTCATCAAAGCAATATTTCCCTCAGCAATCACTATGTTCATAAATGCAGCGCCAGCTTCAGCTACAGCACAGACAAAACAATACAGACAAAGCTGTCACAGACAGGAATGTTTCCTTGTGGGGATCACAAAGTCTTTCAAGAACTGACGATGATATGACGTAAAGACAATATCATGCTTTAGAACTATATTACATAAATCTGAATCTGTATGCTGAAGTGGATAAAAAGATGGATCATGTCATTGTTGGTACCCAGCCTGTGCTGTCTTGTTTCAATTACAAAAATATAAACGCCTGACCCATCTGCCATTACTGCCAGACTTAGACTCAAGGTCAAGGTCATGTGTGGGCCCTAGTTCATTGACACTTCCAAATAAGAAACAAGTATAAAACCGTTCCAAATATCTATACAAAGTTATGTACAAATAAATTATCATAATATTGTATACTAGCATAAGATGCAGCTCCAGGCTTCAAACCACAGACATCTTCAAAGGCAAGCATGACCTGGTCACACATCTTCAAATGGAAGCATGACCTAGTCACACATCATCAGAGGCCAGCATGATCTAGTCGCACATCTTCAAAGGCCAGCATGATCTAGTCACTCATCTTCAAAGGCCAGCATTACCTAGTAACACATCTACCACCTCAGCAGCTCTGGCCACACATCTTCCACAACGAACGACCTTGACCACACACCACCTTGAAGTTCGTCTTAATCACTTTGCAGGACATTTTTCTCAGGATGAGCCACTGATGTTCCACAGACAGTTTGACCCTACTCAATCTCTAAATACCAACAATTTTGTATTTACTTGTATCACTTGATCAACAAACAAAATGGTAAAATTTGTCAGGTAGGGAATAGAGTCTGCACATAATCAGCTGACAATGCTTCATGTCGATCTAGGTGCTCTGCTGCCGACAACCACGGCATATGCCTGAATGTAGCTCCTGCAGAATGGGCAGCTCCGGTCCAAGTCAGTGATGATCTTGTTCACACAGTCTATACACACGTTGGTGTGTGAGCAGGGAGATAACTCTATATTGCCCTCATTTTCGAAACAAACAGCGCACTCATTGCTGATGTCTTGGTCCCTTCCACCCTGGGCGTCAGACATGTTTGCTCTCTTCCCATATTGACTTTCACCATCCGTGTCATCAGGGTGGCGACGGCGACGACACGTCATCCGAGCTCGGCCGGTCTGGTTGTTACCTGAAGAGAAGGAGAATATTATGGCCAGTAAACCACTGGACTACTCCATTTGTTCGAGGGCATGGAGCCTGTAACCCATTGAGCAACTCACGGGGATGGGGCAATCCCTCTAACCACAACAATCTCTCCACACAACAATCCCTCTAACCACAACAATCTCTCCACACAACAATCCCTCTAACCACAACAATCTCTCCACACAACAATCCCTCTAACCACAACAATCTCTCCACACAACAATCCCTCTAACCACAACAATCTCTCCGCACAACAATCCCTCTAGCCACAACAATCTCTGCACACAACAATCCCTCTAACCACAACAATCTCTCCATACAACAATCTCTCTAACCAAAACAATCTCTCCACATAACAACAATCTTTCTAATCATTACAATCCCTGTTACCATGACAGAACAATTACTCTGGGGTTGTCCAAAGAAGTACGGATCCTTGGGGTCCAAGGTAAAATGTTGTGATGGTAGTGTTGTTTAAAGTGATTTAAACTATGGATAGTCAGACATTGTGTCACTGTTTCAACTCTCATTGTTACAACCTCTCTCACCATTAAGGTCACTCTAACCATTACAATCACTTCCCATGGTTACAATCACTTTTCATCACAATCACTCTCAGTGTCACAATCGCTCACAGTGTCAGTCACTCACAGTGTCACAATAACTCTACATCACAATCCCTGACAGGGTCACAATCACTGACATTGTCACAATAACTCTCCATCACAATCACTCTCAGTGTCACAATTACTGACAGTGTCACAATAACTCTCCATCACAATCCCTGACGGTCACAATAACTCTCCATCACAATCCCTGACAGTGTCACAATAACTCTCCATCACAATCACTCTATCATAATCACTCTCAGTGTCACAATAACTCTCCACCACAATCACTGACAGTGTCACAATAACTCTCCACCACAATCACTGACATTGTCACAATCACTCTCCATCACAATCACTCTCTATCATAATCACTCTCAGTGTCACAATAACTCTCCACCACAATCACTGACAGTGTCACAATAACTCTCCACCACAATCACTGACAGTGTCACAATAACTCTCCACGACAATCACTGACAGTGTCACAATAACTCTCCACCACAATCACTGACAGTGTCACAATAACTCTCCACCACAATCACTGACAGCGTCACAATAACTCTCCACCACAATCACTGACAGTGTCACAATAACTCTCCACCACAATCACTCACAGTGTCACAATAACTCTCCACCACAATCACTCTCAGTGTAACAATGACTCCATCACAATCACTGACAGTGTCACAATAACTCTCCACCACAATCACTGACAGTGTCACAATAACTCTCCACCACAATCACTCACAGTGTCACAATAACTCTCCACCACAATCACTGACAGCGTCACAATAACTCTCCACCACAATCACTGACAGTGTCACAATAACTCTCCACCACAATCACTGACAGTGTCACAATCACTCTCCATCACAATCACTCTCTATCATAATCACTCTCAGTGTCACAATAACTCTCCACCACAATCACTGACAGTGTCACAATAACTCTCCACCACAATCACTGACAGTGTCACAATAACTCTCCACGACAATCACTGACAGTGTCACAATAACTCTCCACCACAATCACTGACAGTGTCACAATAACTCTCCACCACAATCACTGACAGCGTCACAATAACTCTCCACCACAATCACTGACAGTGTCACAATAACTCTCCACCACAATCACTCACAGTGTCACCATCATTCTCCATCACAATCACTCTCAGTGTAACAATCAATCACAGTGTCACAATCACTCTCAGTGTCACAATAACTCTCCAATACATTCATTCTCCATCACAATCACTCTCAGTGTCGACATCACAATCGCCAATAATGTTACATCACTGGTACGATATTACAATCACCTTGACAAGCTCTCACCTGATTGATATCCTGAGTCAGGCTGTGGACGCCAGTCCCCCCTTGTCTCAGCAAACCCATCTCCAATTGCTCCACACTGCTGCAAACTGCGGCGAATGAAGTAGATGGCAGCTGCCAAGGTCACCACCAGGGAACTGCTGTTACCAAAGTTCCCAGCATCCTCAACCGCACACCAAGTGCTCTTTATTTTATCGCCAACACAGTAAAATGTCACACGAGAACTCTTGAACATAACACACATCATAAACACTGATATCTGACTACAGTGGAAACCTAATGAGTAAAATTTCAAGGGACTCCCCAAAATTGTTTACTTATCAGGTATTTTACTTATCCAAACTTATAAAAACCTGCAAATGACAACCATATGCATGTATATGTATGCATATGTAACAATGAACAACTTATCAGGGCTGGCCTCCAGTTGTCAGTGTATTGTCAACTGCTTGACGCCAGCCAGCTGTAAGTAGGATGTTTGTTTGACTGGAGACTGACACGACTGCCCCTCATGTCGGATTATGTGGTGATCGCTAATTTAGTTATCCAGTCTCTTTTGTTAAGTAATTTACTTCCATGGACGGTGAGAAGACGTTTAGTTAAGCGGTATAGTTTACTTATCCGAGTTTAGTTAACCAGACTCTAATAGTGATAATTAATGAAGAAAGTTGCTGGGACCAAAGAAAAGTGTTTACTTATCAGGTCTGTTTAGTTAAGCGGTCTTTACTTAGGCGGTTTCTACTGTATTATATAGACAATTAACACTGGAAAGTAGAGCACAACTACAGTATGACCATAAAGTAGTGACATTATCTAAACAAAATTAAACCCTACCAAGCTACCCAATACTTCTACCCCCAACATATTTTCTGGTAAATTTCTCAAATTCAAAATTCACATAAACATTGAAATGTTCACCCCTTCAGGTTGGTCTCTCTTTCATCGTTCACCCCTCTTCGATCTAACACTAAACATGGTAAATGGCCTGGCGGCCTGTGTGCGAAAACACATGTTGGACAGTGCAAGTAAAATCTCGAAATCATCATCAACTATTATGTAATGGTCTCATCCTTCATGGTGCTACAGGTTTGAATTGGTGCACCAACCCAACAGACACCAAGACATAATTAAAACACAATTATCAACTTATATGTAATGGTCTCATATAATATACATTGCTAATGTTTGAATTGGTGCTACGAAAAATATAGAATCCCAACAGATTATAGACAGTGCGAAATCATCATCAACTAATATGTAATGGTCTCATCTAAGAAACGATGCTAATGTTTGAATTGCTGCTCAGTCAGATTACCATCATGTTCAGACACCAAGACAGTATCAGAATCATTATCAACTAATATGTAATGGTCTCATCCTTAACGATGCTAATGTTTGAATTGGTGCTCAGGGGTACCATCCCAACAGACACCAACACTGTGAGAGTCAGCAGATAGTGCTTCTTGAATATATCTCTTTGCTGAGTACAGACTTCAGAGGCCCAGGTAAGTTGCGTATCCGGGTAAAATACGCATAGAATTACGCACTGAAAAATAATTGTTGCATACCAATTACGCATGTTAGATACGCACAGAGTTTAAAACAAATGCAAACGGAATATATTTATAAAAATCGCTTGCATAATGAAAAAGGCATCGATTGCTATCAAGTTGTACAGTTAGTATAGGACAAGTGTTGTACTGTCAGTAAAGGTTGAGTGATTTTTTATGCAATAATTTCCATTATATTTAAGTTGGTTTGATTAGGTATGACACAAGGCAGAACATACCTGCTTAGTAAACTTACTCAATGACATAATACTTAGGTGAGTAAAGTGACTGAAATACGCACATATTTGAAAGCAGTGGGTAACGGGAAATGAAATACCTACTCAACATTCATAATACCCACTCCAAAAAAATAGTGGGTACAGTACCCACATGAGCTACAATCTTATCTGGAGCTCTGCAGACTTGCTCTCAACTTCCGAAGAACATGCTTCAGCTGATTAGCACTAGTGTTGGGAACTGGTTAAAATCGCATAATTGATGATTGGTTCATTACAACCGATCAATCATCAAAAATAATTGGTAAGCGTCATTTATGAAATTTGTTAATGCACATAAAAAAAGGAAAAAAACATGTAGTTATTTTGGGACTTTTTGGCAAAATTTCACATCTTTAAAGGATGACTAGTATGTTAGGAACATAAATTTCTTGGAGCCTTTAAGATAAATTCCAGCATGACTTTACAAGAATTTGTAGTGCTTACAAAATGTAACAGACAAATTCAACCATGTGAAAAATATTGTTAATGAAAACAAGTGTCAGTCTGACTTCTCCTCCATAGTGCCTGTCGGACTCTGTGTGAACTGTTCACACTGCCTCACATAGTTCAGTCCCTTCTGCATTCCGCGACTAATTTTTAAGAATTCCACAGCAAATATAACTATATTCTGCATCCCATTTTTCAAAATTCTGCAAAAATATCTGCAGTTAAAAAATTGAAAATAAATTGAAAATAATGCAATTTCAAACTTCAAACCTTTTGGTCACCTGACCGACCATGCCTTGTCACTCTTTCCGTATGAATGGCCGACACCCGGATTTACAGGGAAATCCAGAGTGCCATAAGAGGGGAGGTTGGGAGGGCTGACCTCATGAGTCAGGATAAGGAAAAATAAGGATATGTGCCGTATAGGGACCCAGGTGCTCTCACAACCATCCTCAAGGCATGGTAGGTCAGGTGACCAAAAGGGCGCCAAAGGGGCAAGGGAGGAAACTCCTGGGTGAGTAGTGATTTTACGTCCACTTTTTAGAAGGGAACTTAAAGGGATTTCAAGTGTTCCACTATCATTCGAAAGGAGAAGGAGACAAGCATTTAGCATGAGTCAGGATAAGGAAAAATTATTACCTAAGGAATAAATCATCTTTATTCGTGAATATTTTGAAAATATCATTATAACAAAATGTTGCAGTTCGTTTTTGTGAAACCAATCATATTTTGGACATTTACCCTGACTTTTCGTTTCGGTTGATAGTCAATCTTGATTCAACTTTCAAAATATGTAAATTCCGGGGCACAAATATGGCAAATTCAGCAGGTATTCTGCATGAAAATGCATTTTCCGTGGACCAGATGATTTTCTGCATCAAAAGGTAATTTCTGTGATTTATTCTACAATCGCGAAATCGCGGAATCCAGGATGGACTGATAGTTGTACTGCGAGAATAAAAACACCCATTCTTCGTATGTCACTACGCCTCGTGTTGTTTGAAGAGTGACAGAGGCATTACACAATATATACAGTCTGAATACTTTATGGCATGCTACATACCATCCAGGATTTGCCCATAGCTTTCTAGAAGTTTCCAGGCAACACTAGATTACAAAAGGATCGAAACAAAGTAGTTACACATTCAGTGATGTCAATACAATGACAACTCTGTTTTAAAAAGATTACATTACCATATAGGGGTGGGTATTGCAGCAAATATTCATATTGCGCTATATTGCGATGTGAAAGCATGCATTGCGATATGTATTGCAATATATTGCATGAAATTTTTTTTAAACAAAACACTACTTATAATCGAGTTACTGCTTGATTTATAGAGCAAAAACACAAAAAAATCACTATGCTTGATTAAGCTTTAATAAGAACTTTTAATCATGATAAAATAAAAATTTGAATATATTTAATATTTGGCACAAATGAAACAAGGAAATATCCTAAGATTTCCGAGTGTTACGACGATTGCCGAATGCAAGTCAAAATACCGGTTTTCGATCAGTGTATCGCAATATGTATCGTTTTCATGTCTGAACCGGTAAATACCGGTAAACCGGTTATATTGCGCAGCCCTACTACCATACATACTGAGTCACTGACACCATGACAATCAAAACTCTTGAAAATTTAATGGAATTTCCTCAGTTTCCACGGGATGAATCTGTCAAAAGCACTGAGATTGGTAACACAAACCTTAACCCTCAACTAACCCCTGACTGTAACCATGGTAACGTAGAGCAGTCCTGAAAGAGACCAAACGCTGACCATTCTGAAGCACTGTTTGTAAACAATAGCCAATAAACGTCAAGTTAACTAGACCCTGTCAACATATTCCACAAGAAAAGTTTCTGCTCGAGTGACCACATCCTGGACAGGATTATCACGTCACCAGACTTTTCACTATTTATCCAAACACACTTGTGCTAATAAGAACAGACTAACCTAATATAAGAATTGAAGTGCACATTACATTTTGTTAAGCATAATTCAATAGATACATTACTACAACTGTGACAAGTGTGGAGCATGACAACATAGCACCACACATCAACAAGGCCATGTAACCACTTCTCTGTATGGGATTTCACGACAGAACAACCCGGAAAGATCTGGGTTAGAATTTATCTTCAGTAACCCATGCTTGTAGTAAGAAGCAACTAACGGAATCGGGTGGTCAGGCTCGCTGACTTGGTTGACACATGTCATCGTATCCCAATTGTGTAGATAGATGCTCATGCTGTTGACTCAATTATTTACAGACCGCCGCCATATAGCTGGAATATTACTGAGTGCGGCGAAAACTAAACTCACTCACTCATGACAGAACATAAAAGGATAAACTAACAAATAGAAAGAGTCTTTCATGTTTTGTGTACAATGTGACAATGTGTTAAAGGTAATGATTGGCTTCATATGATCAATTTGATTATTTTTTATATTCTACTCAAGATTTTGATAAACACTGGCATCTAATTTAAGCAAGCTGGCTATGCGTATTTTGCAATTTATCAATGAGGAAAACACACAAGCTTTGTCTTCCATTTGCCCTCAATATAAATCATGACAGAAACCATTAGACCTCCTAATGACCTTGACACTGCTGCTTTCCCTGTGCCATGTACAGTATTCTTTCAAATCCTACATTCAACAGTTTGGTTGGCATTGTTGACATCTTGAGAGAAGGATGCATCAAAAGTTACATCAGTTTTCACACCTGTTGATGTCTTCAACAATACTTCAATACTATCGAGACGGTATGCATGAGCTCCTCATCTTTTCCTGCACTTGAGTCACATCCCCTGTTATTTGACACCTGCTTCTTGAGCCCATGAAATTGACCATGCACCTAATGATGTCATCATAATAGACACTTCAAGGCCCAGTGAGGACAACATATTGTTTGCTACTTGCTGCTGAAGTCCTTGAGTAAGCTATAAAAGGATAGATATTCAAAAAGTAATGACAACAAACCTCAAAACTTACATTTTCTCTAATGCACAATATAATTAGGGGATACAGTAACTGTACTGTGTTTGACGAATTGAGGATGTATACCGGTGGTTATATAGCCGCAAGTTTAAGTTATATCGGCGACGCGTAAGCGGAGTCGATATAACGTTACATTTGGGGCCATATAACCACTGGTATACGTCCCCAATTCGTCAAACACAGTACAGCTATCCCCATTTTAATTCAACTCGTTTTGCGCTGTTTTTTCGTGAAAGAAATTCATTATTTAAACCAGGTCAAAGTTCCTCTAGGTCAAAGGTTAATCATATCACTCCTTCAACTTTACACCATCGCCAGAAAAACTAGTTCCCTTTTCAAACTTCAACACATTTATTATGTGCACACTGACTAAATCTGACAATGATGAATAAATCATAGTGTTACAGCTAAAATGGACAGAATTATCTTGAAATCGGACTCTAATTATCAGAAATGAGCGGAACGCTGCAAATGATAATGGCCCGCTGATTCCTCAACTATGGGCCATTATCAGTTCTGTTGTCAAATGACGTCACAGCAGGTGACGTCACGCTCCATAATAACGTCATAAATCTTATTTCATGATCTCACAGTGTTGGGTCAACAGCCCGCTGTGAGTAATTTGTTTGAACTTAAAATTACATTTATGATACTGTTTTGCCTTTTTTAACGCAAATTCCATCCATTTTAGTGGGATAGGGGAGTTAACTGACCCAGGGCTTCTGCAAATGACAATGCCCTGTAAAACTGCTTTACCCCAATGGTGTAGGGATACATTCAAAGGTTTTGGTGAATCGGTTTTCAACTTGCGACCGCATAAGCTTATTATACGGTCAGAAATTTATAGCACTGACCAATCAGAACTCGTGTTACATACTAAGTTGAATTATATAATCAAACTGAAGCTGATAATTTTGCATCAGAAAACTTGTATGCACCAATAATGTAATGTTTTTTGTAAACTTTTGAGGGTAACAAAATGTTACCTGACTGTTGCCTAGAAGGGAGAGGCATTATCTGTATTAACTAATGAGACATGGTCACTTGATGACCCAAGTGATAAAAGAAATAAATGTTCTAAAAGTAAGGCTTAATTCGGTGTTTGCCCTAGGCATACAAACTTAGGAGTCATCATGACTCCCTGGTGTCATGAGAGGGAGACATGGACATGTTTTGGGGAGTCAACTTTAGTTTGTAACTTTCATCTTGAGACATTAAATGTGATTGATTAATAAGAACGCAAACAAGGTAAGGTAAGGCAGGTCAGGTTATTTAATCAGCAATGAACAGTTAACTGGCAAACATTTAGTTTTAGAAGTTTAGATTATCCATACTACCATTGCGTCAAGAATGAAGCAAGCTTCTAAATTCACTGCGTATTTGAGATAACTTGTGCAGGTTTCCTGCGTCATGCCAAACACTGTTAATTTAGTGTATTGGCATTGTTATTTGAAATGTTATCAGAAAAAATATTTTTTAGGAATTTGAAAACAGATTGCCCAAGGAAATATAGTGAAGTCAGCAATGTTAACAATTTCCTGCTTGTATACCATCATCAAAGCTACTAAGTTCAGTTAAAGGGAAACAACATTCCAAGTTTTAAACTACTGGCTCAAACACTCACATAGTTGATCATATCTTACTCATAGCCAAAAGATTTATCTACATTTCAAGTCTTAAACAGTTGACCCTATCATTTGACAGATTTATCTCAACAATAAAGGACATTTGTAAAATTGAACAATTCATAGCAATAAAAAATAACAGAAATAGCAACTTTGAGAAAAAATGGAGATAACTGCCTGAATTATCCTTTGAAGTGGTCATAAAATGATCAATCACAGTGTTGTCCGTAATCACTTTTATATAGTGTCATTGTAAATTATTTATAGTATAAATGAATAATTCTGCTAAAACATTTACGTATTCATTACTTATCCAAGACCTGTATAACATGACTGAAAGTACTGATTATTGAAATGTATATTTGCCACACTTTATGTCTGCCTAATGTACATGTATATGCATAAATGCATGAAATGTAATAAAAAAAAAGGAAAAAGTTTTAAACTACTGAAATATGGATCAGCCAGGGATTGGGAAAGGCAGGGGCCATTTTGCACATTAGAATAAAAAATGGCGCATTAAAATTTTAAAGTTTACTATTGATACAAGGGCAGTGGCCCATTCTAAATTCAGAAAATGGCTCATAATCCTGAAAATGGCCCATTGTCAAAGTTCTCTATCCCAATCCCTGGATCAGCCTTTCCTTTATGGAATAAAATTTGATCACTATAGACTATAATGTTGACTGGTTTGACTTGTGTTTGGCGTTATTCTCACTGCGACACTTATGTGACACCTATCAGGGTGGAAGAATATTAATCGATAAGGTTACGCAATAAGACTATTAAGAGCTACAGTCAAACTGACAAACTGTTGTTGATTAATGCTGACCAGAAATAAAAGGGTGATGCTGTCAGAAAATGGCATCACAATATACACAGCAAAAAACAACAGGTGTCTGGTGATCAAGCGGAATAATTAACATGTCACTGGCGATACAACTGTGTGTGTGTGTGTGTGCGTGTGCGTGTGTGGACTTGTTTCCCTTTAATTCTTTCCCTACACCCTTACAGCTTAAAGGGACATTTTGAAATATGGCAGGCTGCTATACACTAGTAGTAGTAGTCACTACTTCACATATATCCATGAAGCTAATGAACATTATGTAGTCTAGATCAAACCTAATCATTAGGCTAATGCAAGGTCGACAGCTCTCGGCATGTCACGCTTAACATCACAACGCGGCGGCAGAAAATGGCCGACATGTCGAGTGACCATGTTGAGAAACGGAAACAGACAACATGTAGCCATTCTCACTAGGGTCCTCAGTTCCTAATGGCAGTGTACGTCCAATCCACAGCCAGAACCGGTCGTGCACGCGTTTGGTGAACTCATTAACTGTATATGTAATATACGAATCATACACAAACTTGATTACCATTTCAGAGACCTTAATAGTCGAATATTATCTAAAACTCACTTCTTTTCATTTCATGATGTTTTGACTTTCAGGGATCAGCTATTTCCAAGATTCACCAAGCCGTTACTGAAGAACATTCAACAGTGTAGTCTGAATAGCTTTTATCTCCCCGCAGACTTGCATTATTATTTTTGGGATGTAGGTATAAACCTATTCTTTTCGCATGCCAGTATCAAATCGGTATCAACTTAATTTGTAGTTGTCAACCATAGAAAATCGTCTCTATTTCTATGTTGTCAACATATGCTCCCTCCGCCAAGCTCCTTACCAGCGCGTGACAACTTCGTCTATTCAGCCGTATGTGCAAATGCAGAGGAATAACATCGACGAAGTGAGGAGCTTGTGTAGGTTTCCGTAAAGGGACACAACTCGCGGATATAAACACAAGCACGTGTTACAGCATTACAACGAAAGAATATCACTAATATTTCATGATGGACAGCAGTATCACTTTGAATCTTTCTGGAACAAATATTCAAGTCGGCGAAGGCTCTCATATTAAATCAAAAATCACCGGAAATCGGGTAGGTAATGCTGATAATTCTAACATCAAGTCGACAACACATTTAAATATACGGTTTTGATTTTTAAACTTAGTTTTTCAAGGTTTGTCAGGACTAACCATGCTTTTCCAAATTCTGTCAAATGCTGTAGAAGTCACCAAAATGTCCACAATTCCATTATAGTGAAAAAAAACCCCAAAATGTCACACTTCCTCACCTCAAATACTAAACTGTATGTATAAATGTTATCAAACCACAAATACAGGTACAGTCTCGTCCATCAGTACATTGCTCCACAAAGGGAAAAACTGCTCATCTGGAATTTAATGAAGTCTTGTATATCATAAAACCAAGAAGCCAATGACAATCCCACCATATTAAGAAGCTAATGACTACCTCGCCATGTTAACAAAATAATGACTATCTCTCCATGTTAACAACCTTATGACAATCTCTCCAGGTTAACAAGCTAATGACAATCTATCCATGTCAACAAGCCAATTACAATCTGACCATGTTAACAAACTATTAACTAATGACAATCTCACCATGAAGGGGTGGAAAGAGAGATGACTGAATAGAAGGAATCTGAGCAAAACACATCTTCTTTCAATTCTGTTACCTTCGAGCAGAAACAGATACACTCCATTGAGTCATTGAGTGTTGTAACATATCCCCCCCCGGATTCCCCACAGAAACATACACATGATCCAAGGATGTCAAAACGTGGATGACCTCCCTTCACTTATATCAACACTAGCTCTAAATGTTGATGCTGATATCTCAGCTGTAAAAATAATGAATTGGAGTTAATATACATGCTTAATAAATCAACAAATATTAACATATGTTGGTATATTATGATCATCAACACGAAGATGGCTTCCAGTAAGTCTTCACTTTGAAAGGGAGAGCAGATAAACAAGAAAGATCATTACCATTTAATTCTATGATATATGCAACTTAATACACGACATTTACACTGAAAATATATTTACAGGAAAATAGAAATACATTGGAATTTCTGGCCAAGGTAATCTGTATAAACAGATTTTCATTAATTGTATGTATAATGCTCAGATTTATTTAAGTATTAAGTATCTGTTGAGAGGTAGACACTTAGAACTGTATATCCTGAGGTGAGGTGAGGTGAAATTGGGTTTAACGTCGTGCTTGAGAATATTTCGCTCATATGACGACGTGCATGCATGTGTATGTGTATGTGCGGCTGCTTGTACTAGCCCAGACTGAAGCTGGTTTTATAGTGCTACCTCATTGAGATACCATGCCGCAGTGAAGCATAAATACCCCACTCAGACACATTATACTGACTCCGAGCCGACCAGTCCTTGTTGTACCCATTAATGCCGAGAGCCAGGCAGGGACCAACAAGTACCATATTTTAACGTCTTATGGTATGACGCGGTCGGGAGTATATCACATATTTTAATTTTAAGATGATAACCATAAACCTATTAAAAAGTGTTCTGAACTGTATGACAATATATATGATATCAACGATTTATTGCAAATTCTTTTGAGAGAGTATATACATATATATACTTTAGTTGAACCATAATAAACAAAAAAGCTTAAAATTACTTTAAATAGCCTCATGTTTCACAAGGTATTTGAATCCAGAATTATTCTCCCTTACATCATAACACAAAATACAGAGTTTGTATACAGTTCCTCTGTGAGCGACACTGACAGCTTGCTTCAAATACGTTTGGTTATCTGCGCTGTCTTACTGAGAGAAAAAAATGAATGCATGATATAGAAAAATCTAAAGACTGCCATCAGGCGATAGAACTATTTTCTGTGTAATACAATATTATGAATGGTTTTCTATGAAAGAAAAGAGCAAACAAACCTCTCTTTTCAATGGCCCCCACTCTGCAATATCATCTGAAAGGACCAGTAAATGTTTTCCAGATGCCAGAACGTGTAAAACAAGGGCTTTCCTGTGAGGAAAACTGGAGCATTATTTAGTTTAGTTTTGCAGAGTTACATCCCTTGCAGAGCTACTTGGTACAAACTTGTTAATTCTAACATATTGCATAGAATTTCCTTCAGAAAGATTTGATTTACTTGTTGGTAGCAATGGTTATCCCTAAGTCTAATAAACCAAATAGGGATTAAATGGTTATTTTTTAATTGTGAAGTGGTTATGTAAACACAATGATATTAAAGGATGCTTGATCGGAAAGAGGATCCACACAAACAACACAACTATAGTACTGTCAGAAATAGAAAAAAACTGTATTTTCTCATTTATCTCTACAATTTATGTAGTTGATATGTGAAAGTGTGAAATATCTGTTAAACTAAGTTCGGCCTAACTACAGTCTCAGTGGTAGAGAGATAGGAAGCGGAGAAAAATGACTTTACTGAGGGGAAATTAGTGCAGAAATGAGCAATGCTTTTTTTTTGTAAGTCCCAAAAGACTCATTTGGAACAGACCATGGCTTTATGCAAATTAGTGTGCGACGATATTGTATTACAAAGGACACTTTTTAAATTCCCAGTTTGAAATTAGACATAGATTCATTATAAACGATATCTGACCTAAAAAATAATAACTTTTATGCCGAAACTATTAAGGATGTAGCTACCATGCAGTCTCACTGTCACTATGAAAACAAACAGATAGGAGGGGTCGGCTCAAAAGCAAAACCTGGGGTTGGGCTTGGGGATAGAGATATCAGCTAAGATAAGATAATCCTTTAGGGCAATTATACCATGTATACTGGGGAGGTACACGGCACGTCATAACAGTTTACAAATAATATCCAGTCCTGTTGATCTTCGGGTGGTCATGCCACCTATATACTACGATGCGTTTCTATGGTTTTCGGGTATCATACTCTCTTACATATCTCAACATAAACTTTATGAAAGAAAGACACGCAAGATGTTAATCAGTAGATGAGTCATAGTCAATACACATGAAAAAGCACAAAATATCTTTGAGATGACCCCTTGTGCCTGTAGGCAGCACGTGCATTTCATGCCAGGTGAGTCGACGGTCCGTCGTCATACCTGGCTGAGCGACCTAATTGCCATCTATAGTCTGATATATTTTTTGCAGCAGCTATTCATATTTTTTCTAAGTTTTGCCCGATTTTTCGAGTAAACATGCTTTTCTGGATATCATATTACGCATCCCACTGAACGCCCAGTTAGGCCGAAGTGGGTTATTTCGACATATGCTATTTGCAATTGTGTAAATTTTAGGGATACAGCGTAACAGCCTAAAAACAATTTTTTTTCTATTTCCGACAGTACTATAGTCCTAAGGCATAGAGATAGAACAGATCAGAGCTTTGGTGAGTATGGCTAGTTTGCTTCTGCAATGCTATACATCAAGTGGTTTTTCACATACTAAATATTTAGACCATTGCTTGATGTGTTTTTAGGTCAGACGAATAAAAGGCCGTCGGAAGCTGAAAAGTAAACAGAAGAAGGAATTTGCTGAGTCCAAAACTGAAGAGAAAGTAGATGCGGGGGACACCAGAGATGGAGGCATGGCGGGGTATGAGTCAGCTGATACAAGACAGGCGGTTGCTACACCACAGACAGGTGATGGGCATTCAAGAAAGAGGAAACAGAAAGGTGACAATGTCGGAAATACGACTAAGAAGACGAAGAGTGGACATGGCGGACAGGTGGTTTCATCTTTGTTCAGATACAATCCGGATATACCTAAAGTTGTCAGGTACGTTGATGTCTGCCTGACATATTTAATAGGGATGAAAGAGAAAACCGGTTAATCGTTATATTTCAATTTGAACTTCACAATACGATATATTGCTATACACTTTTGCAAACCGGTTCACCCGATCACGATCGGCAATTGGCGTGACCATGATCGATAATTTTGGTGATGTGAGTGAGTTTAGTTTTCACGCCGAACTCAGCAATATTCATTTCAAAGCTATGGTGGCGGTCTGTAGATAATTGAGTCTGGACCAGACAATCCAGTGATCAACAGCATGAGCATTGATCTGCGCAATTGGGAGCCGATGGCATGTGTCAACCAAGTCAGCGAGCCTGACCACCGATCTCGTTAATTAAGCCTCTTCGACAAGCATGGGTTACTGAGGTAACCTCCCAAAAGCCGGACAGCCCATTATCCCTACAGCTTATATCAACAAAGTGCATGGTCCAGTGCACTGCTAATCTCCTGCCTGTTACCTATTTCATACAATGGACCATTCCAAACACTTGGATTTCAAGAGAATGATTTTAATGAGCAATAAGGAAACTAAGATTTTGAGATAATGGTTTAAATGGAAAATCACAAAAATATTTTAATGAAAGTTCAATAATATTGAACTTGAGGTTTAATTAACTTCATTAAATATCATAATATCATAACATATGAAATGTTTTTATGTTTTATTTTTCTACATATTATCTGTCAACCTCAAGCAAATTGGTTTTACCATGTTCCATCCTCACAATCCCCATTTTGTTTCACTTTTTATCTTGGTAGTTTGCAAAATCTGCAATAAATGCATCACAAACTTCAGGAAACAAAATATGAAAGAAACACTTTTGGTGTTTGAGATAGGCAGAAATTCGCTAGAATCAAACTTAGACATTAAAGTGCATAAAATAATAAAAGCAATGGTCACACAAGTGTCAGCTCTCAACATATTGTAATAGTGGAGCGACTAAGATCAATTTTTCATAAGAATTGTGCATTTGATGATAAAAGCACCAAAATCGGTCATCATATAAAAGAACATATCTGAAATACTTTCTTGAAAACACATCTCACCCCAACACATTCCAAGCTGCATATGTGCAGCGGATGCACTTGACCAAGCCTGTCACTCTTCACACTCTCATATTAGTGTCAACAGGGTTAGAATCGTATCATGAAGGGCCAACATCAATCTACGATGATAAATACCAGCTAACTTGGATTGCGAACGGGTTACCCATAGCTTCCCCATCGAAGGATCGTCCACCTTCACCTTACCACCAACTGAATCAACTTTGCAAGTCATCAAGAACCAAAGCTACCAGAATGCAGGGTCTTCCCGGCTTGCTCAGATTGATACTATTATCAGACGAGTCCTCCTGGGCCTCACCATATCCAGATCCATCAACAAGGCGATGACATCACACTTCAAAGATCCACAGTCCGACAAAGAACGTATGCTTTTGTCCATGGTCATCCAGGAGAAGTACCAGGAGTCTATCTCCGACCAGATCTGCTCAGCATCGGCGGGACTCACCTTGCTTACGTAGAGACAAGGAAGTATTGGCCAAAGTGGGACCTTCTGGAAGACCCATTCATCACACAAATCTTAAGGAATAGATATACCATCCAGTGAATACGACGCCACTGCTCAACTCTATCTTCCGCAGATACATTACGCAGAAACCCTACAACCCAGTCTCACAGATGCGATAGAGTCACTTCTATCCAAAGAAGCAATAAACCTTAAGAGGAACTCGACCCAGGGTTCTGCTCCCCAATTTTCTTGGTCCCAAGAACAATTTATCAAAGTCCAGACTAATATGAAGATGTTCAACAATGATTACTTATTGAAGACAGAGAAGTTTGGAATTCTCTACCTTCTACAGCTGAAGCAGATGATAAGACAGAACAACTTTCTGGAAAGCATGGATTTAAGGGATGCATATCTGCATATGCCAATCCACCCAGGCTCCGGGAAGTATCTACGATTCCTGTTCAACCATCAAAAAACCAGTTGAGGGTTCTACAGTTTGGCAAGTTCATGGCCTGTGCTTATACACATGGGTAACCAAGCCTATCGTGAGCTTCCTTCACCCTTCCTTCAGGGTAATTTGATGCACCTTCTACCTAGACAATGGCATTAAATAACTTCAACAAGCCGTTAAACTCAAACGTCAGTTGAATTACACGCTACGATTGCTGCCCAACATCATCCCAATCACTCACGAAGAGGGGCAGACTGCAACTACGACCCATCCAGAGGTTTCTAGTCTGACTGCTGGTCCAGCAGGACTTCAGACCACAACTACCACATCACCTACCAGAGTATTTCCAATGGTGGACGATGAAATCAAAGGTCTGCGCAAGGACCTTCTGGGCGAGCTAAGCTTCAACCTGCATCTGTGAGTAGACGCATCTCTACAGGATTGGGGAGCACACCTCGACACAGATGTAACCTCAGGGCTGTGGTCTCCAGAAGAAAAGCTTCTTCACATCAATCACCGAGGTTACGCGGAGTTATCCTGCCATTAATAATAATAATAATAATAATAATAATAATGGCACTTATATTAAGCTATATCCACGCCATGAAGGTATGCTCAAAGCATTGCCTCAAAGCGATGGAAACAGAGGCAGTTGAGTTCTCCACAGTGGTATTAGTTATGTATCTTTTAGGTATAGTGCTTGAAGAGGGGATTTAAGACTGGATTTAAAAGTTTCAAGAGATGGAATCAACTTCAGTGATTCGGGTAGAGAGTTCCACAGAGTAGCGGCTGAGACAGAAAAAGGATCTGGAGCCGAAAGTTTTAAGCTTGGTGACAGGCACCGGAAGGAGCTGTTGTTGACTAGGTTATCCGAGTTCTTGAACCACTGGGCCCCTCGACAGCCAACTCATCCAGCTAGCAGGCAATCCTGTTCTAAAACTTCCAGATTGGTCAAACCTTCTCACTTATCCTCAAATGAAGCAGCAGCATCAAAATTCGAGTGTCTTCGATCTGCACGCATGGAGCAAATCAAGAAGAACTTGACCAGGCGCGGCTATTCCAGCAGAGCAGAAGTCTCCCGGTCTCTATGCAGATCTACCTGAAGCCTGTATGTTGATAAGTGGAAGAGTCTTGACCAATTTGCCAGAAGTAAGGGGATTCCAGCAGATATACAACCTCAGAACCTCAAAGAATCTCAAGACTGGGCTCTTAGCACCAATCAGCTCTGTCATCAACTTTGTGAAGGCTCCAAACTCACTCAGAATGTCAGAATTCCATTCTATAGACCTCAGCCTCACCAGATTTGATAAAGGTCTCAATACATCCGTGCATCTTGGCCTCCGTTTGGATTTTTTGACACAAATCAGCCAGACGGACAGTTTCTCATCCCACTATTATCTTCAATACTTGGCAATGAAGATAAGGAAGACTTATCACTGCGTCTGGTCAGAGTCCTACGCATCTATCTACGTAGAACGAGCACCAGACGTCAGAAGTTAAGTCGATTCTTCATCCCGCTCATGAGAGATGTCACAGCAGAAGTATCCAAAACAACTAGATATCCTTCTGGATGAGATCGGTGATACTTCGAGCACACAGAGATGTAGGCTTAGAACCTCCCTCAGCTTCAAACCCACACGAAGTAAAAGCACTGGCAACTGCTCCTTCCCTACCATCATGGAAGGATGCTTTGGGAATATTTTTCTGTTTATGTTCAATCACTTTTATTTGAGATTATTTGCAAAGAAAAATTCAATTCATGCCATCCCATCAACACATGTACAGCGTGCCAAACGGGCAGCTTACCAGGCAGGTCATGTGTGGGGTCAGTCATTCTTCCACGGCCTGAACTCCCATCTCCAAGTGAGTGATACAGAAGAAAAGTGGACAGCATGTTCCCTACTGGACGACACTACACCACAATCTTGTCAGGTTTTGGTATTGTGTCAGTACAAAGGGGTGTAACAACCGATGCAAGTGCAAACAGTCCTCACTTACATGCACTGGTGTGAGGCCAGTGTTCATAACATTGACTCAGCTATGTTTTCAAGATGTTTGACCAGTATTTTGGGTCAGTATTTGTTTAAAAAAGTAGTCCCATTATTGTACTGATGGCAGGCCCAAAGCTATAACGGGAACCAGAAAAGGCAAAATATTATTTATCTACTGTGCATGCGCAAATTAAATTATTTTGAGTGCCTCCACATCCTAAAATGTTCACTATGCATCAGTCTATAAATGTGCAAAGTTTCATGCTTTTATCATTAAATGCACATTTTATCTGCTTAGCCGCTCCACTAAAACAGTGCCAGCTTGAATATCTGGACTCAATGTTTTTGAAAGATTAAGATGGGGGTGTCCTTGAAAAACAGCCCCCATCTAAACATAAATCAAGCAATCGAAATCTTTGAATGTTGATTATGACGGGTAGTCATCCAATATTATACTAAAGATATTTTATATGATATTATCTGAGGGCATACCATTATCTAAGAGGTATCAAGCAACAGGTTATATTTCATTTTCTGAATTTTTTAAAAAGACATATTATATCCCAATGTGTTGTTATGACAAATATCTGGTTAACAACATTACTCACACATGTGAAATTTTGGATATGGCTTTTCTAATAATTTCTTCAAAATAAAATGGAATCTTTTCAAACATTGGACATTGAGAATATAGTTAGGCTGACTACATTTTGAACGCCCCTCGTATATACCACCCAAAATAATCTCAAATTATTTATCTCAGTCTACTATCTACAACTGACATTATTACGATTTGCAAAATCTGTCTACTTACAATGTACACCAGGAAGCTAAAAAAACCCCAGTTCAACATTTAATTCATCTCAATTATGTAAAATGAATTATTAAAACGCTACCAACAACAGCATCTGTATACTCTGTGCAGTTTAATCACACACTGTATACCCCACCCTGTAATCTCTCCTTTGGGTCAGTTCATTACCAGACAGGTAAATGCAGCGTGTTGTTTTTACTAATTGTAGGGGTACTGGGCTGTAGGGGTTATGGGCTGTAGGGGTTTTGGGAGACAACCGTTACTGAAGGCCAATATTCTAACCCGGACCTTCACAGGTCTTTCGTGATGTAGTCAAAAATACTAATAACATTTGCATTTCCTTCATATTATTATACATTAATAGTTTTGATAAAGTTATTGGTCATATAATTGCATTTGCGTGACTCTTAAACCATATAAATAAAAAAATAGAATTGGTTCCGGTGCTATTTGTTGGGATAAACAAACCAAAATAGGGGACGCCGCTTTTCCTCGGGTTCCAAACTTTAAAGCGAAGTCTTCAATTTAGAAACATTTTCAATTGATAGGATAAATGGTATAAGCATCTATACCAAAACGTCGCAATAGAACAATAAAGAAGTTGATCATCCATAAACATTTGTCATTCCTATTGCTTACAACTTCTAGAATGCCTCGCAAACAGTTCATTTTCAATTGATCTCTTATACAATCACATCTGAGTCCTGACAGTGGCCAGTGGCATTGTTTCAAAAGAAAGAAACAGTAATTTCATTATCTTAAACCATGTGGTACACTGTCACATTATATTGCAATAAATATTGCAATACGCAAAAACACATTTAGTATGACCAGAAATTATTGAGAATTTTAGGAATATGTTTAATTGGATTTCTAGTATAAACAACCTTGACCAGCTATCAAGTGCTTGGTTTCATTCAAGAGAGACAACTCTGTTAATCCTTTTTCATTAGTTTGTGAAGAGTTATCCCCCTTTGTTTACTTGCTAGCAGACGACATTTTCAGTGATCCTCATTATGGATGATTTAGAGAAGAGGAAGTTGATTTTAGAGTATTATGACAAGGACATCAGATCAGCTAAAGTGATTTCAAGTAGAACAGGCATCCCTTTGTACACTGTTCATCGTGTTTTGAAAATTATTGCAAATGGATATGGCACTGAGCACCAGGGAGGTGCAGGTAGGCCCAGAAAATTGACTGTCAGTGACAGGTGGCGGCTTGGTATTCTTGTTTCTAAAAACAAACAAAGGAGTTTACAAAACTTGAGGCTGGATATGATTGATAGAGGAATTGTGGCTGTCTGTAAGGAGACAATTAGAACTGAGCTGAATGCAATGGGTTGGCAGAAAAGTCGAGGAATTCCATCAACAATCATGAAACCTGAACAAAAGGAGTGAAGGTTGAACTGGTGCTTACAGCATAGAAAATTTAACTGGGACAATGTGATTTTCTCAGATGAAAGTTCTGTGTGGCTGTTTCCTAATACACTGAAATTCTGGACCAAACAAACCGATAAACCTTTGTATCAGCGCCCAAAGTACAGTCCGAAATTTAATGTGTGGGGTGGCAACGCCCCTCTGTGTATTTGAAGGGAATATGAACAGTGAGTGGTACACAGATATTCTCGAGGGACGTTTACTTCCATCTGCTCACGTGTACCATGGAAAGGTTTTGATTTTCTAGCAGGACAACGACCCAAAACATCGTTCAAAGCATTCACAGGCCTGGTTTCGGACCCAAAATATGACATTATTAGATTGGCCAAGCTATAGCCCTGACCTAAATCCAATAGAAAATATTTGGGGACTTATGAAGGAAAGTGTCAAAAAGAAAAATCTGACAAATATTGCTGAAATGAAAGAAATGGTGGTCCGATATTGGGACAGCATGGACAACAAAATTTCTAACTTCTTTGATCAGTTGTATGCCCCGCCGCATTGAAGCCTGCATTGCTGCCCATGGTGACTTGACAAAATACTAACTGTTCACCTGTCTTTGAATCTGGAGTTATGTTCTGCTAATATTCACATTTAATACGTGAGTAATGAGTGAATTTTTTTTTAACATTTACATCTTTAAATTCTCAATAATTTCTGGTTGTACTGTATCACAATATATCACAATACGAAAATTTTGGCAATACCCAACCCTAACATTTACAGGTAGTGTTGGAATAAGTGAAGGAAAGGCATCCACATTTTGACATTCTTGGATCATGTGTATGTTTCTGTGGAGGAATTCGGGAATATGTTACAACACTCAGTGTCTCAATGGAGTGTTTCTGTTTCAGCTCGAAAGTAACAGAATTGAAAGAAGATGTGTTTTCATCAGATTCCTTCAGTCATCTCTCTCTCCACCCCTTCATGGTGAGATTGTCATTAGCTTGTTAACATGGTGGGATTGTAAATGGCTTGTTAACATGGCGAGATTGTCATTATCTTGTTAACATGGTGAGATTGTCATTGGTTTGTTAACATGGCGAGATTGTCATTAACTAGTTAACATGGTGGGATTGTAAATGGTTTGTTAACGTGCAGAGGTTGAAATACTGATGTCGACATGGTGAGATTGTCCTTATGATGTTGATATGGTGAGATTGCCATTATGATGTCTTCATGGTGAGATAATGCTGATGTCACAATGGTGAGATTGTAATGGTGAGGTTGAAATACTGATGTCGACATGGTAAGATTGCCCTTAAGATGTTGATACAGTTTGATTGTCATGATGTCATCATGATAAGATTGTCATTAGGATGGCAGCATGGTGAGATAATGCTGATGTTGACATGGTGAGGTTAAAATACTGAAGTCGTCATGGTGAGGTAATGCTGATGTTGGCATGGTGAGATTGTCATTATGATGTCGATATGGTGAGATTGTCATTACGATGCAGCATGGTGAGATTGTCATTAGGATGCCAGCGGTGAAGCTGTAATGCTGATGTCAGCACGGTGAGATTGCCATCAACATTAGATTGTCATGTTCATGTGAACATACTGAGGTTGTAATGCTGATGTCGACATGGTGAGATTGTCATTAGGATGTCGATATGGTGAGATTGTAATTAGGATGGCAGCATGCTAGGGTTGTAATACTGATGTCGATTATGATGTTGACATGGTGAGATTGTAATGTTGATGTCAACATGGTGATATAATGCTGATGTCAACATGGTAAGATTGTCATTATTGCTTTTACATGATGAGATTGTCATGTCAACAGGTAAATGCATTGGAAGAAAGGCTGCAGCTGACACAGATGACAGCTGTACAGCAGCGAGCCATCCCCACAATCCTTCAGGGTCAGGACGCCCTCATCAAGTCACAGACTGGCTCAGGTAGGTCAGGTCACAGACTGGCTCAGGTAGGTCAGGTCACACACTGGCTCAGGTAGGTCAGGTCACAGACTGGCTCAGGTAGGTCAGGTCACACACTGGCTCAGGTAGGTCAGGTCACAGACTGGCTCAGGTAGGTCAGGTCACACACTGGCTCAGCTAGGTCAGGTCACAGACTGGCTCAGCTAGGTCAGGTCACACACTGGCTCAGCTAGGTCAGGTCAGAGACTGGCTCAGGTAGGTCAGGTCACAGACTGGCTCAGGTAGGTCAGGTCACAGACTGGCTCAGGTAGGTCAGGTCACAGACATGCTCAGCTAGGTCAGGTCACACACTGGCTCAGGTAGGTCAGGTCAGAGACTGGCTCAGCTAGGCTCAGTCACACTGGTCTCAGGTAGGTCAGGTCAGGACTGGCTCAGGTAGGTCAGGTCACACACTGGCTCAGGTAGGTCAGGTCACAGAGACTGGCTCAGGTAGGTCAGGTCAGAGACTGGCTCAGCTAGGTCAGGTCACAGACAGGCTCAGGTAGGTCAAGTCAAAGACTAGCTCAGCTAGGTCAGGTCATAGATTGGCTCAGCTAGGTCAGGTCACTACTGGCTCAGGTAGGTAGTTGTAATTCACTATGGAAGTGTATGCTACTATTTCATGTGTATGCTGTTGGGGTAATATGTCATTTCAGATGTATTTTGTGGTTTATAATGAACTAGGTAAATGAATGCTGAGAAGATTATCCACTATTTAAATGTATGCTGCAGTGTAATTATCAGTGTAAGGAATGCACGGTTGTTTCAGGAAAGACCCTGGCGTTCGCCGTGCCTATAGTACAGAAACTGCAGGCCTTGGAACCTCCTATAACCCGGGCTGATGGGCCGTACGCTATTGTCGTAGTACCCACGAGAGAGGTAGGTAGTAGCATACAAAATGTTCAATACAGAGGGATGACACACAGACAGACTGGTAGTCCAGCAAACGCATTGCTTCCACAAGGTAGCGATGGATTGACTGATATAGACCAATCGTCTTAGCAATCATGATGGATATGGCCAAAGTAGGATTGCAGATTGAACCCCAAACAAAACTATATTCTGTACAACACAGAGAAACCAGATAGGTACTATCACAGCAATGTTTCATCAGATGCCATACACTTGACATGAGTCATGACTTCTGTGCAGTGTTTGACATGTCCTCTCTCCATTTCAGCTGGCCCAGCAGTGCCTGCAGGTGTTTACAGAGCTTGTCAAGGTAACACTGACTAGAACCCAAACTCTCACACTGTGAGCCCTGGCCCTCGATAGTATACCCATTATGGCTTGTGGTTCCTCCGTAAAGACAGCACGGTGCAAGTTGGGCTTGTAGTATCTCAGCAAGGACTATAGTTCATGTTTATAAGTAATTGTGAGTAGTGACTCACTAAACAGTGTAATATGCAAGGTACATCTTGTAGTGACAATCTTTTGTCGATCATTTGCAGCCGTTTATCCGAATTGTTCCAGGCCTTGTGATTGGAGGTGAGAAGAGGAAGGCAGAGAAATCCAGGTGCTGTACTTGATAATTTGTTGGTGTAGTTACAACCAAGTGATGCAGCTGTGACCCAGCTCAGCTACCCATTGTCTCAACTGTAAACCCCTTGTTGTTGCTGCAGTAACTAACCATTGTCGCAGCTATAAAACTTGGCTGTTGTTGCTACAGTAACAACCCATTTATACCGCTGTTAAACCTGTTTATTGTTGCTGCAATAACGTCTTGTTGTGGCAGGTGTAAAACCCTGTTGTTTTTGCAGGTTACAATCTAACACAGCAGCTGTAACCACCATCTCTCTGGTTGCAGCATACGTAAGGGCATCAACATTATGGTTTGCACACCTGGGCGACTGGTGGACCACCTGGAAAACACAGCCAGTCTGAGGGTGGACAGGGTGGAATTCCTTGTGCTGGATGAGGCAGACAGGTGGGTACACAGCCAGTCTGAGGGTGGACAGGGTGGAATTCCTTGTGCTGGATGAGGCAGACAGGTGGGTGCACAGCCAGTCTGAGGGTGGACAGGGTGGAGGTCCTTGTGCTGGATGAGGCAGACAGGTGGGTACACAGCCAGTCTGAGGGTGGACAGGGTGGAGTTCCTTGTGCTGGATGAGGCAGACAGGTGGGTACACAGCCAGTCTGAGGGTGGACAGGGTGGAGTTCCTTGTGCTGGATGAGGCAGACAGGTGGGTACACAGCCAGTCTGAGGGTGGACAGGGTGGATTCCTTGTGCTGGATGAGGCAGACAGGTGGGTACACAGCCAGTCTGAGGGTGGACAGGGTGGAGTTCTTGTGCTGGATGAGGCAGACAGGGTGGGTACACAGCCAGTCTGAGGGGTGGACAGGGTGGAGATCCTTGTGCTGGATGAGGCAGACAGGTGGGTACACAGCCAGTCTGAGGGTGGACAGGGTGGAGATCCTTGTGCTGGATGATGAGGCAGACAGGTGGGTACACAGCCAGTCTGAGGGTGGACAGGGTGGAGTTCCTTGTGCTGGATGAGGCAGACAGGTAGGTACACAGCCAGTCTGAGGGTGGACAGGGTGGAATTCCTTGTGCTGGATGAGGCAGACAGGTGGGTACACAGCCAGTCTGAGGGTGGACAGGGTGGAGTTCCTTGTGCTGGATGAGGCAGACAGGTAGGTACACAGCCAGTCTGAGGGTGGACAGGGTGGAATTCCTTGTGCTGGATGAGGCAGACAGGTAGGTACACAGCCAGTCTGAGGGTGGACAGGGTGGAATTCCTTGTGCTGGATGAGGCAGACAGGTAGGTACACAGCCAGTCTGAGGGTGGACAGGGTGGAGATCCTTGTGCTGGATGAGGCAGACAGGTGGGTACACAGCCAGTCTGAGGGTGGACAGGGTGGAATTCCTTGTGCTGGATGAGGCAGACAGGTGGGTACACAGCCAGTCTGAGGGTGGACAGGGTGGAGATCCTTGTGCTGGATGAGGCAGACAGGTGGGTACACAGCCAGTCTGAGGGTGGACAGGGTGGAATTCCTTGTGCTGGATGAGGCAGACAGGTGGGTACACAGCCAGTCTGAGGGTGGACAGGGTGGAATTCCTTGTGCTGGATGAGGCAGACAGGTAGGTACACAGCCAGTCTGAGGGTGGACAGGGTGGAATTCCTTGTGCTGGATGAGGCAGACAGGTGGGTAGACAGCCAGTCTGAGGGTGGACAGGGTGGAATTCCTTGTGCTGGATGAGGCAGACAGGTAGGTACACAGCCAGTCTGAGGGTGGACAGGGTGGAATTCCTCGTGCTGGATGAGGCAGACAGGTGGGTACACAGCCAGTCTGTGGGTGGACAGGGTGGAGTTCCTTGTGCTGGATGAGGCAGACAGTCTGTTTTTTTATCATATCTTTATGTTCTTGCTGTCATTTCAGACTTTGTGACCTTGGATATGAAAAACACATTGCCCAAATTGTGACAGCGTTGAACACACGGAGCAACCATGGTCGCCAGACTATCCTTCTGTCTGCCACTCTGTCTGATGGTAACTATTCCTCCACATATATTCTGCATGGGAATTGCTGGTTAGACCAAGTTTTTACAACACTATGGTAACTATTCCTTCACATGACAACACTTGTCATATGGCAATTATTATCCCCCACTTTGTGAAAACGCGCGACGGCGAAAAATAATAGTATTAGGCTCCATCCGTCTGTCCGTACGTACCTACGATGTGGAATATCTTCAGAACCGTTGACTAGATTCTTTTCATATTTGGTACCTAGGTTCATCACAGTATGCAAAAGGTCCAGTCAGGGTTGGTGACCTTGACCTTCATTTCAAGGTCACAAGGGACATTAACGTTTTTCCCTTGTCAACGTGATATCTCAAGAACCGTTCACTGGATTTTCTTCATGTTTGACACCTAGCTTCATCTAGGGAATGTGCAGGGCCCAGGGCCCACTTAATTTTCAAGGTGATGGCGACACTTTGAAGATTTTAGCATGTTAACCTGCATGCTAAGCTTGTCAGTGATACCTCAAGAACCATTCACTGGATTTTCTTTATTACTATTTTTGCATATATCATACACCATGACATTCATGTCAAGGTCAAAGTGAGTCTTGAAAATATTTGTGTGTTTGAACAACTACAGAGCAAGATATCAAGAGAGGTTGATTGGTCATGTTATTTGTTGACATTTAACTTCATCTTAAACTTTCATTACTTTTTAAGTTTGATTTGATAATTTGGGGTGGGGGATTTTGACACCTTTGTGACAATGCTTGTCCTTTGTGGGATACAACATGTTTAATAATTGGGATTTCACTTTCTTAGTAAACTGCAAATTCTATTACTTTTTGAGGTCGAATCTCATCTGGGATTCGAACCCACACGCTCAGACTCAGGCACCAAATCGACAGCACACAAAGGTGCCGCCTGACCCGCTCAGCCACTGGGACTTCCACAAAAATGGAAGTCGGACAACTGGTAGTCTAGACTGCAGACTTTGTGTACCCCGCTGATAAGTGTAAATTGGCATGGCTCCCTCGGCCAAAAGCTATGATTACACAATGCCATTTAGAAAGTGGTCAAATGCAATGCTGGCGATTTGGTCTCTGTGTCTGAGGGTGTAGGTTCGAATCCGGCATCGGACTCAACCCCAAAAGTACTAGAATTTGTACTTTACTAAGAAAGTGTAATCCCAAATATAACTTCTGTTGAATTTGACCACTTTCTAAACGGCACTGTAATCACTTTGTAGGATAGAATGTAGTGTTTCTGTTTGCAGGTGTTGAGAGGATGGCAGGAATGTCGCTGGGTGATCCAAAGCACATCTTCCTGTCTGAGACACCTAGTTTGGCGATGTCTTCTTCAACCAGTGCAGAAAGCCAGGACAAGTCAGGAGACTCTGCCAACACGCTTCACTGTTCCCCAGAACCTCCAGCAGTATTTTGTCATCACTCCCAGTAAACTGAAGTTGGTCACACTGGCCGCCTTCATCCTGGGCAAGGTGACCACTGTTACATCACTTAGTGCAGTGTATGAAATATCAGTGGTTCTTCACACCACATCATATAATAGACTCTGTACCTATGTCCGTGACTGCTCCTTTATCCTTTTCCTATGACTGATCCTGTGACTCATATGTTCCTCTTACTGTGACTGTATGTTCCTACAACTGTGACTATATATTCCTGTGACTGTGAGTGTATATTCCTGTGACTGTCTATTCCTGTGACTGTGACTGTATGTTGACTGTGACTGTTTGTCCCAGTGACTGTCTGTTCCTGTACTTGTGACTGTGACCGTCTTTTGCTGTACTTGTGACTGTTCCTGTGACTGTCTGTTCCTGTACTTGTGACTGTCTGTTCCTGTGACTGACTGTCTTTTGCTGTACTTGTGACTGTCCGTTCCTGTACCTGTGGCTGTCTGTTCCTGTACCTGTGACTGTCAGTTCCTGTGCTTGTGTGTCTGTGATTGTCTGTTCCTGTACTTGTGACTGTCTGTGACTGTGACTGTCTTTTGCTGTACTTGTGACTGTTCCTGTACCTGTGACTGTCTGTTGCCTGTGCTTGTGACTGTCTGTTCTGTTCCTGTACCTGTGACTGCCTGTTCCTATACCTGTGACTGTCTGTTCCTGTACCTGTGACTGTCTGTACCTGTGACTGTCTGTTCCTGTGAATGGCTGTTCCCGTACTTGTGACTGTCTGTGACTGTGACCATCTTTTGCTGTACTTGTGACTGACTGTCTTTTGCTGTACTTGTGACTGTCGGTTGCTGTACCTGTGGCTGTCTGTCCCTGTACCTGTGACTGTCTGTTCCTGTACCTGTTACTGTTTGTTCCTGTACCTGTGACTGTCTGTTGCTCTACCTGTTACTGTTTGTTCCTGTACCTGTGACTGTCAGTTCCTGTGCTTGTGACTGTCTGTTCCTATACCCATGACTGTCTGTTCCTGTGACTGTCTGTTCCTGTGATTGTCTGTTCCTGTACTTGTGACTGTCTGTGAGTGTGACTGTCTTTTGCTGTACTTGTGACTGTTCCTGTACCTGTGACTGTCTGTTCCTGTGACTGTGACTGTCTGTTCCTGTGCTTGTGACTGTCTGTTCCTGTGCTTGTGACTGTCTGTTCTGTTCCTGTACCTGTGACTGCCTGTTCCTATACCTGTGACTGTCTGTTCCTGTACCTGTGACTGTCTGTACCTGTGACTATCTGTTCCTGTGAATGGCTGTTCCCGTACTTGTGACTGTGACCATCTTTTGCTGTACTTCTGTGACTGACTGTCTTTTGCTGTACTTGTGACTGTCGGTTGCTGTACCTGTGGCTGTCTGTCCCTGTACCTGTGACTGTCTGTTCCTGTACCTGTTACTGTTTATTCCTGTACCTGTGACTGTCTGTGGATCTGCTTGTGACTGTCTGTTCCTGTACCTGTGTCTGTTCTGTTCCTGTACCTGTGACTGTCTGTTCCTGTACCTGTGACTGTCTGTCCCTGTACCTGTGACTGTCTGTTCCAGCTGCAGGGTAGAGGCCACAAGATGGTTATTTTCATGGCAACACAGGATGCAGTGGAGTTTCACCATCAGCTGTTTACCAGAACACTGTGTGAGGTTCAAGGGAAAGATGCAGACAGTCTGTCCATGTTCAGGTTGCACGGAGACATGGAGCAGAAGGTGGGTTAGTCTCATGATGTGAAGGTTACATGGACATGTGTGAAGGTTGAGACATGGACATGTGAAACATGAGATAACTATCAGTGAGATGAACTCTGAGATGGCAATGAGATAACTATCAGTGAGATGACAATGAGATAACCATCAGTGAGATGAGTCAGATACATGAGTGAGATGACAATGAGATAACATGGCAGATGAGAGATGGTGAGATGGCAATGAGATAACTATGGCAGTGAGATGGCAATGAGATAACAGATGGCAATGAGATGAGATGGCAATGAGATAACTATGAGTGAGATGGCAATGAGATAACTATGATTGAGATGGCAATGAGATAACTATGATGAGATGAGTGAGATGACAATGAGATAACAATGACAATGAGATAACTATGATGAGACAATGAGATGGCAATGAGATAACTATGAGTGAGATGGCAATGAGATAACTATGAGTGAGATGGCAATGAGATAACTATGAGTGAGATGACAATGATGGCAATCTATGAGTGAGATGGCAATGAGATAACTAAGAGTGAGATGGCAATGAGATAACTATGATTGAGATGGCAATGAGATAACTATGAGTGAGATGGCAATGAGATGAGTGAGATGACAATGAGATAACTATGAGTGAGATGACAATGAGATAACTATGAGTGAGATGACAATGAGATAACTATGAGTGAGATGACAATGAGATGATGAGATGGCAATGAGATAACCAGGATCAGATGGCAATGAGAGATGAATGATGGCAATGATAACTATGAGTGAGAGATGGCAATGAGATAACCATGAGTGAGATGGCAATGAGATAACTAAGGATGAGACAATGAGAGTCAGATGGCAAATGAGATGATGAGTGAGATGACAATGAGATAACTATGAGTGAGATGGCAATGAGATAACTATGAGTCAGATGATGGCAATGAGATAACTATGAGTGAGATGGCAATGAGATAACTATGAGTGAGTGAGATGACAATGAGATAACTATGATTGAGATGACAATGAGATAACTATGAGTGAGATGACAATGAGATAACTATGAGATGACAATCAGATGGCAATTAGATGAGTGAGATGGCAATGAGATAACTATGAGTGAGATGGCAATGAGATAACTATGAGTGAGATGACAATGAGATGACAATGAGATAATATGAGTGAAATGACAATGAGATAACTATGAGTGAGATGACATTGAGATAACTATGAGTGAGATGATAATGAGATAACTATGAGATGACAATGAGATAACTATGAGTGAGATGACATAGAGATAACTATGAGATGACATTGAGATAACTATGAGATGACAATGAGATAGCTATGAGATGACAATGAGATAACTATGAGTGGGATGACAATGAGATAGATAACTATGAGTGATGGATGACAGATAACTATAGATAGCAAGATGAGTGAGGATGACAAGTGAGATAACTATGAGTGAGATGACAATGGATAACAATGAGATGAGAATGAGATAGCTATGATGAGATGACAATGAGATAACTATGAGTGGGATGACAATGAGATAGCTATGAGTGAGATGACAATGAGATATATAAGAGCAAGATGAGAATGAGATAACTAAGACTGAGATCAGGCTGTTCAACTGTATGTTTCAGGACAGGACGGAGGTGTACCAAGCGTTCAGCAAGTCCGACCATGGTGTTCTTCTCTGCACTGTAAGTGGCTGATGCAGTGTGTCACTGGATTGACGATTAAACTGGGAACATTTGGTGTGGCCTTCAGTTTGTGAAAGTCTCCATGATAAAACCTGTGATGTTCCTACTGGGGCAAACACTTTTACTTATTTATATGATTGTATATGCTCTTCCGGGGTGGTAAAAAGTAGTTATTGATACCAAATATTTCACCCAAACAGAGTATGAACCACAAATGACCTATTCAAGAACATTAATATTTGTAAAACTTGAGTAGGATGTCGTTTGTATCGTTGGCATTTTCAAGAAATGTTGAGTAATCATTATTACTGTCAGTTGTATTGATTCTTGTTTTCATTCACTTGCGAATGACTTCTTTGTTTGTGTGTGAACTAGTAGTGTGGTGTCAGCATGGAGGCAGGTTGTTGGCATGATGAGTGAGTGAGTTAGTTTAGTTTTTCATCGCACTCAGCAATGTTCCAGCTATATGGCGGCGGTCTGTAAATAATCAAGTCTGGACCAGACAATCCAGTGATCAACAGCATGAGCTTCGATTCACGGCATTGGGAACCGATGACATTAGTGGTGGTCCGATTAATTGAAATAATCGAAGATTGGTCGCAGTGGCCAAACGACCAAGCAATCGATCACATTTTCTCATAATCGAACACAACGATTTTGGAACCGCTGTTATAGAGTTTGAAATACTTGATGATGGAACATATCTAGGACGTTGTCAGGGCCTGAAAACGTGTTTATTTCTAAGAAAACTCACTTCACTTTCTGAAAAGTCATGACTGAATATTTCTTGAAGAATCTGGGAAGTTAAGTTAACATCTGAATCATTTTACACTGGATGTGAAATCTGCAAATGTAATTTGTGCAGTTTCTTAAAAAACCAGGGAACCAAATGTTTTTTTCTTCATCCTTATCCGCAAATACAACCTGAATAGGAAAATCTAAAAAATCACGCTAACCAATTTTTTTTCGATGATTGGTCGTTGGTATTGAACCAATCATCAATTGTGAGATTTCAACCAATTCCCAACACTAGATGACATGTGTCAACCAAGTCAGTGAGCCTGACCACCCGATCCCGTTAGTCGCCTCTTACGACAAGCATAGTCGCCTTTTGTGGCAAACATGGGTTGCTGAAGACCTATTCTACCCCGGATCTTCACGGGTCTGGCAGGATGAACACGGCTGAATATGTTCATTGTGTGACTGTCTGTAAGACCAACAAACACCAAATGTTGACAATTGATGATCGAAGGCATCCAGTGTCAGTGACATGAGTATAGGATTAATTGATTTGAAAGCTGATATTTTTAAAATTCAAGTTCAGTCAGAAGACTTCTTCAGAGGCAGCGGGAGTACATTTAACATATCAGCCAATTAGATATTTTCTGTGTAGATCACCTAGATGTTTTCAGATGAGTCCTCATTCAATATGCACTCTCTTGATACGTGTGGTTGTGTCTGGTGACGTCAGTGTCTAGTGACGGCAATGTCTAGTGACGTCAGTGTCTAGTGATGGCAGTGTCTAGTGACGGCAATGTCTAGTGACGTCGGTGTCTAGTGGCATCAGTGTCTAGTGACGGCAATGTCTAGTGACGTCAGTGTCTAGTGACGACAATGTCTAGTGATGTCAGTGTCAGTGAACAATGTCAGACCTCTTGACTGATCTGGCATTGGTTCAAGAATAAGGTTGCATCACTAAGATTGAGTGAGCCCCAGTCTGTCATGTGCAAGGATTTGTCACTGGACCATACTATCAGACCACTCCTTGTCCTGTTTGTTATGAGTGGATGTTTTGTCTTTAAGGACACTCACAGCTCTGCTCAATGTGGTTGACACATGTCATCGTATCCCAACTGCGTAGATTGATGCTCATATAATGTCAAAAATCGGGCGGTGGGGTAGTCTAGTGGTTAAGGCGTTGGCTCGTCACGCCGAAGACCCGGGTTCGAATCCCCACTTTGGCACAATGTGTGAAGCCCATTTCTGGTGTCCCCCCGCCGTGATGTTGCAGGAATATTGCTAAAAGCGGTGTAAAACCAAACTCACTCACTCACTCATAATGTCAACCACTGGATTGTCTGGTCCAGACTCAATTATCTGCAGACCTGCTTCCGTATACCTGGAATATTGCTGAGTGCGGCATTAACCAACCAACAAACGAACAAAACATATTAACATCTTTACCTTGTTTATGTTTCATGGTACATATTGTTGTCTTCAGGATGTGGCTGCCCGGGGTCTCCACCTTGCCCATGTTCAGTGGATAGTTCAGTACACCATTCCCACCCAAGAGGCAGACTACATTCACCGGGTGGGGCGCACTGCCAGGGCAGGGGCGAAGGGAGAGTCACTGCTCTTTGTAGTGCCCTCAGAAGTAGGCTACCTCCAGGTGCTTAACAAACACAATGTCAGGTTCGTACCTCCAGGTGCTCAATGAACACAACATTAGCTTCATACATCCAGGTGCTCAACAAACAACATTAGGTTCATACATCCAGGTGCTCAACAAACAACATTAGGTTCATACATCCAGGTGCTCAACAAACACAACATTAAGTTCATACCTCCAGGTGCTCAACAAACACAACATTAGGTTCATACATCCAGGTGCTCAACAAACACAACATTAGGTTCATACCTCCAGGTGCTCAACAAACACAAGGTGCTCAACAAACACAAGATTAGGTTCATACGTCCAGGTGCTCAACAAACACAAGATTAGGTCTGTATATTCAGCTTCTCAACAAACACAACATCGGGTTCATACCTGCAGGTGCTCAACAAACACAAGATTAGGTCTGTATATTCAGCTTCTCAACAAACACAACATCAGGTTCATACATCCAGGTGCTCAACAAACACAACATTAGGTTCATACCTCCAGGTGCTCAACAAACACAACATTAGGTTCATACATCCAGGTGCTCAACAAACACAAGATCAGGTTCATACCTGCAGGTGCTCAACAAACACAAGATTAGGTCTGTATATTCAGCTTCTCAACAAACACAACATAAGGTTCATACGTCCAGGTGCTCAATAAACACAACATCAGGTTCATACGTCCAGGTGCTCAACAAACACAAGATTAGGTCTGTATATTCAGCTTCTCAACAAACACAACATCGGGTTCATACCTGCAGGTGCTCAACAAACACAAGATCAGGTTCATACCTGCAGGTGCTCAACAAACACAACATCAGGTTCATCAACCAGGTGCTCAACAAACACAAGATTAGGTCTGTATATTCAGCTTCTCAACAAACACAACATTAGGTTCATACCTCCTGGTGCTTAACAAACACAACATTAGGTTCATACGTCCATGTGCTCAACAAACACAAGATTAGGTCTGTATATTCAGCTTCTCAACAAACACAACATTAGGTTCATAAATCCACGTGCTCAACAAACACAAGATTAGGTCTGTATATTCAGCTTCTCAACAAACACAACATCGGGTTCATACCTGCAGGTGCTCAACAAATACAACATCAGGTTCATACGTCCAGGTGCTCAACAAACACAACATTATGTTCATACCTCCAGGTGTTTGCTGAACATAACGTCACTGGATTCTGTGTAATGTGTGATTGTGTCTGATCAGTCAGGTGTGTGATGTTTGCTGCATCTGATCTTCAGTTGTTTATTTCAGTCTGAAGGAGCTGAAGATGAACAAGGTGCTGGGCATCCTCATGAAACTGATGACTGACCTGGCCTCAGACGAGGAAATGGTGAGGCTCCTGTAATAAAGTATAAACTGTCAGATGTCCACAAGTGACCACAGCTGTCTTCTGAATTTTTCCACTGAACAACTTCATGGGTACTGTGTAACGTCCAACTGTGGGTACTGTGTAACTACCAACACCATGGGTACTGTGTAACGTCCAACCATGGGTACTGTGTAACGTCCAACACCATGGGTACTGTCTAACGTCCAAACCATGGGTACTGTGTAACGTCCAACACCATGGGTACTGTGTAACGTCCAACACCATGGGTACTGTGTAATATCCAACACCATGGGTACTGTGTAATATCCAACCATGGGTACTGTGTAACGTCCAATACCATGGGTACTGTGTAACGTCCAACACCATGGGTACTGTGTGACATTAAATTGATGGTGCATTCTCCATGTTGTTGAAGTGTCGAGGCAAATCACACAGTTTTATGCAATGTAACAGCAATCTCCAAACGTAAAGCTGATTATTTGCGTGAAACAGACGCTAACTTGAACGCCATTTTGTCAGAGACTACAATGATCTTAGCTCCTTACAATTGGTCCGGACCAGTTGTAAGTTTTGATTGTAACTTACTATGATCTTAGCCTACAATTGCTTTGTGCAAGTGGATGGTGATTGTAGCCGAAGCCTAAGATCGCGATCTTAAGGATTTACAATAATTGTAGCGCTAAGATTGCTCTATGCAAGTGGGCCCTTGTGTAATGGTGCGGGTCAATGCTTACCTGGTGCAGTAGAGTGGGTCAATACTTACCTGGTGTAATGGTGTGGGTCAATGCTTACCTGGCCCAGTAGAGTGGGTCAATGCTTACCTGGTGTAATGGTGCGGGTCAATGCTTATCTGGCCCAGTAGAGTGGGTCAATGCTTACCTGGTGTAAATGGTCAATGCTCACCTGGCCCACTAGTGTGGGTCAATGCTTATCTGGCCCAGTAGAGTGGGTCAATGCTTACCTGGTGTAATGGTGCGGGTCAATGCTCACCTGGCCCACTAGTGTGGGTCAATGCTTTCCTGGCCCAGTAGAGTGGGTCAATGCTTACCTGGTGTATGGTGCGTGTCAATGCTTACCTGGCCCACTAGTGTGGGTCAATGGGTCAATGCTTACCTGGCCTAGTAGTCTGGATCAATGCTTATTTGACCCAATAGAATGGGTTGATGCTAACCTGGCCCAATAGTTGGATGGAGATAAATACCCAGTTTACGATGTAACTATGCTTAGTTTCAATCTTCAGGTAGCTTAGCTCACATCTGAGGATGCATTGTGATTGGTAATCAACTCACTGTTTCAGTCATGTTTCACCTGGTGTATTTGTTCCAGAGGCCGCGGGATCTGGTGGAGAGTGCCACACACCTACAGATGAGGTTCGAAAACTTGGTACAGGGACAAGAAGAGATGCTTAGTCTGGCTCGGAGAGGTAATACTGAGTTGAGTGAGATGTGTGGTGTGAGAACTGCACGGAGTTAGAGAGGTAATAGTGAGCTGAGTGGCATGTGTGGTGTGAGAACTGCACGGACGTAGAGAGGTAATAGTGAGCTGAGTGAGATGTGTGGTGTTAGAACTGCATGGACTTAGAGAGGTAATACTGAGTTGAATGAGATGTGTGGTGTGAGAACTGCATGGATGTAGAGAGGTAACAGTGAGCTGAGTCAGATGTGTGGTGTGAGAACTGCACAGACATAGAGAGGTAATAGTGAGCTGAGTGGCATGTGTGGTGTGAGAACTGCACACGAGAGAGGTAGAGAGGTAATAGTGAGCTGAGTGGCATGTGTGGTGTGAGAACTGCAGTGAGATGTGTGGTGGGACGCAGAGAGGTAATAGTGAGCTGAGTGGCATGTGTGGTGTGAGAACTGCACAGAGTTAGAGAGGTAATAGTGAGCTGAGTGAGATGTGTGGTGTGAGAACTGCACAGACGTAGAGAGGTAATAGTGAGCTGAGTGAGATGTGTGGTGTGAGAACTGCACGGACGTAGAGAGGTAATAGTGAGCTGAGTGGCATGTGTGGTGTGAGAACTGCACAGACGTAGAGAGGTAATAGTGAGCTGAGTGGCATGTGTGGTGTGAGAACTGCACGGACGTAGAGAGGTAATAGTGAGCTTAGTGGCATGTGTGGTGTGAGATCTGCACAGACGTAGAGAGGTAATAGTGAGCTGAGTGAGATGTGTGGTGTGAGAACTGCACAGACTTAGAGAGGTAATAGTGAGTTGAGGTAATAGTGAGATGTGTGGTGTGAGAACTGCACGGACATAGAGAGGTAACAGTGAGCTGAGTGAGATGTGTGGTTTGAGAACTGCACGGACTTAGAGAGGTAATAGTGAGCTGAGTGAGATGTGTGGTGTTAGAACTGCACAGACTTAGAGAGGTAATACTGAGTTGAATGAGATGTGTGGTGTGAGAACTGCATGGATGTAGAGAGGTAACAGTGAGCTGAGTCAGATGTGTGGTGTGAGAACTGCACAGACATAGAGAGGTAATAGTGAGCTGAGTGGCATGTGTGGTGTGAGAACTGCACAGACTTAGAGAGGTAATAGTGAGCTGAGTGGCATGTGTGGTGTGAGAACTGCATGGACTTAGAGAGGTAATAGTGAGCTGAGTGAGATGTGTGGTGTGAGAACTGCACAGACGTAGAGAGGTAATAGTGAGCTGAGTGGCATGTGTGGTGTGAGAACTGCACGGACTTAGAGAGGTAATAGTGAGCTGAGTGGCATGTGTGGTGTGAGAACTGCACAGACTTAGAGAGGTAATAGTGAGCTGAGTGAGTGGCATGTGTGGTGTGAGAACTGCACAGAGTTAGAGAGGTAATAGTGAGAGAGTGGAGTGGCATGTGGTGGTGTGAGAACTGCACGGACTTAGAGAGGTAATAGTGAGCTGAGTGGCATGTGTGGTGTGAGAACTGCACAGACTTAGAGAGGTAATAGTGAGCTGAGTGGCATGTGTGGTGTGAGAACTGCACAGACGTAGAGAGGTAATAGTGAGCTGAGTGAGACGTGTGGTGTGAGAACTGCACAGACTTAGAGAGGTAATAGTGAGTTGAATGAGATGTGTGGTGTGAGAACTGCACAGACATAGAGAGGTAACAGTGAGCTGAGTGAGATGTGTGGTTTGAGAACTGCACGGACTTAGAGAGGTAATACTGAGTTGAGTGAGATGTGTGGTGTGAGAACTGCACAGAGTTAGAGAGGTAATAGTGAGCTGAGTGAGATGTGTGGTGTGAGAACTGCACGGACTTAGAGAGGTAATAGTGAGTTGAGTGAGATGTGTGGTGTGAGAACTGCACAGACTTAGAGAGGTAATAGTGAGTTGAGTGAGATGTGTGGTGTGAGAACTGCACAGACTTAGAGAGGTAATAGTACTACTTTTGTGGACATGGAGATGTAACAGTGACTTGTTGCATTGGCTGTTTTCAAAGGCATTGTTTAATCAATGCTTATGTTGTCAGTCACTGGATTGTCTGGTCCAGAGTTGATAACTTACAGACTGCAGACTTCTACCTGGAGTTGCTGAGAGAGAACAGCAAACCAACATGTTCATTTCTAAGTGAGGATTTAGTGTCAGAGGAGTGGTGCTTTTCATGTATCAGCAGAAGGTTCCTACATGTCCACCACAAGCTCATTATACAACATGGGAGCGTCAGTCACCATTCCAACACATGAAAACAACATGGCATCAGTCATGTATAGTCCGTTTGGCTCAAAAGCGGACCGATGAATTGCAATCTAACTCGAAAGCTAATAAACATAAAATACTCAATGAAACACTGATCATAATCAAAACGTCAGACCAACTCTGTGAGGTTTTTGCAGAATTTATGTCCTAAAAATAAAAAAGTTGTTTAACAAACTATCATGAAAATATTGACACAGTTCACTATTTGTTACGAGGGAGGAGTGCAGAGAAAGGGAAAGCCATGTGTGCGAGAAAGGATGGAGACAGCACAGCACAGGTTAATGAATCAATAACTTTGTCGGCACTTGTGTACGTGCTTCTCTAACACCTGGCTGTCCCTTTCTCTGCACTCCTCCCTCGTAACAAATAGTGAACTGTGTCAAAATTTTAATGATAGCTTGTTAAACAACTTTTTTAATTTTAGGACATAAATTCTGCAAACAAATCACAGAGTTGGTCTGACGTTTTGATTATGATCAGCGTTTCATTGAGTGTTAGATTGTTAAAGTGTTAGTTTTCGAGTTAGACTGCAATTCATCGGTCCGATTTTGAGCCAAACGGACTATAGTGTTCGTGATCTGGTTTCTATAAACTTGCTCACTTGTTCCAGGGTTCAAGTCGTTCATCAGGGCATATGCCACATATCCTCATCACCTCAAGGCTATCTTGAAGATCCAGGACCTTCACCTTGGCCATGTTGCCAAAATGTTTGGACTACGAGAGGCACCAGCTGGTATTGGAGACAGGGCGGGACACAATGTTGTAAAGAAACACAAACAGAGGTGGGTCACCGTACCTTTGTTTCAGTGAAGAGAAATATTTTACATTCTTTTTCAGATGTCATGCCCAGGTCTCCCAGGCAGTAAACATTTAATCTCTCAATGTTGAAACTGATTGTGTAACACTGTCACCATGTTGAAACAGATGTTATTGTCACACTATTGAGATTATTAAGACTGTCAACCTGTTGACACTGATGTAATGATATCGCACTATTGAGACTGGTGAAAGACTGTCAACCTGTTGACACTGATGTAATGATATCGCACTATTGAGACTGGTGAAAGACTGTCAACCTGTTGACACTGATGTAATGATATCGCACTATTGAGACTGGTGAAAGACTGTCAACCTGTTGACACTGATGTAATGATATCACATTATTGAGACTGGTGAAAGACTGTCAACCTGTTGACACTGATGTAATGATATCGCACTATTGAGACTGGTGAAAGACTGTCAACCTGTTGACACTGATGTAATGATATCTGGTGAAAGACACCTGACTATTGATGACTGATGAAAGACTGTCAACCTGTTGACACTGATGTAATGATATCGCACTATTGAGACTGGTGAAAGACTGTCAACCTGTTGACACTGATGTAATGATATCACATTATTGAGACTGGTGAAAGACTGTCAACCTGTTGACACTGATGTAATGATATCACACTATTGAGACTGGTGAAAGACTGTCAACCTGTTGACACTAATGTAATGATATCACACTATTGAGACTGGTGAAAGACTGTCAACCTGTTGACACTGATGATGTAATGATATGACACATATCACACTATTGAGACTGGTGAAAGACTGTCAACCTGTTGACACTGATGTAATGATATCGCACTATTGAGACTGGTGAAAGACTGTCAACCTGTTGACACTGATGTAATGATATCGCACTATTGAGACTGGTGAAAGACTGTCAACCTGTTGACACTGATGTAATGATATCACACTATTGAGACTGGTGAAAGACTCAACCTGTTGACACTGATGTAATGATATCACACTATTGAGACTGGTGAAAGACTGTCAACCTGTTGACACTGATGTAATGATATCACACTATTGAGACTGGTGAAAGACTGTCAACCTGTTGACACTGATGTAATGATATCGCACTATTGAGACTGGTGAAAGACTGTCAACCTGTTGTCACTGATGTAATGATATCGCACTATTGAGACTGGTGAAAGACTGTCAACCTGTTGACACTAATGTAATGATATCACACTATTGAGACTGGTGAAAGACTGTCAACCTGTTGTCACTGATGTAATGATACTGTCAACCTGTTGTCACTGATGTAATGATATCGCTATTGAGATGTAATGATATCTGGAGGAAAGACTGTCACTATTGAGACTGGTGAAAGACTGTCAACCTGTTGACACTGATGTAATGATATCACACTATTGAGACTGGTGAAAGACTGTCAACCTGTTGACACTGATGTAATGATATCACACTATTGAGACTGGTGAAAGACTGTCAACCTGTTGACACTGATGTAATGATATCACACTATTGAGACTGGTGAAAGACTGTCAACCTGTTGACACTGATGTAATGATATCACATTATTGAGACTGATGAAAGTATGTCAACCTGTTGACACTGATGTAATGATATCACACTATTGGGACTGGTGATTGTCAATCTGTTGACACTGATGTAATGATATCACTTATTGAGACTGGTGAAAGACTGCCAACTTGTTGACACTGATGTAATGATATCGCATCATTGAGACTGATGATTGTCAATATGTTGACACTGGTGTAATGATATCACACTATTGAGACTGGTGACTGTCAGTTTGTTGACACTGATGTAATGATATCACACTATTGAAACTGGTGACTGTCAATCTGTGGACACTGATGTACGGTAATGATATCACACTGTTGAGACTGGTGAAAGACTGTGAATCTGTTGACACTAATGTAATGATATCACACTGTTGAGACTGGTGAAAGACTGTGAATCTGTTGACACTGATGTAGTGATATCACACTGCTGAGACTGGTGAAAGACGGTCACCCTGTTGACATTTTTTATACTGTCACCTGCCAGACATGTTCTGTCATCCGTTTTCAAGTGAACAATCTTTTTCACAGGCCAGGGGCCCCGCGGAGGAGGAAGCACGAGGTGTCAGAGTTCGGCAGCGGCTTCACGAAGACAAAGAACAAAAACTTGGGCCCGCGAAAGAAGAAAAACAAAAAGAAGAAAACAAAGGGGCCAAAATAGATGAAGTTTTTTTATTTTCTGTTCAAATATTGTTAATAAAAACCTTTGTTATAGAGTTTTTCAGTCTATCTTCAATTCTCATCATTGTACTAATCCTCAAACAAACATACACCTTAGGCAGTGTAACATGACACCTCACATTGCAACAGATGACACCTGACACCCAGGTCCTTTCAGAACATGACACCTGACACCCAGTTCATTGTAGGAAATGACACCTGACTTCCAGGTCCTTTCAGGAGATGACATCTAGGTCCTTATAGGAGATGACACCTGGCACCCAGGTCATTGTAGGAAATGACACCTGACACACAGGTCCTTACAGGAGATAACACCTGACACCCAGGTTCTTACAGGACATGAAACCTGACTCCTAGGTCCTTACAGAAGATTACACCTGACACCCAAATCCTTTCAGGAGATGACACCTGACACCCAAATCCTTTCAGGAGATGACACCTGAGTCCTAGGTCCTTTCCAGAGATGACATCTGACGCGTAGGTCATTGTAGGAAATGACACCTGACACACAGGTCCTTACAGGAGATAACACCTGACACACAGGTCCTTATAGGACACCTGACTCCTAGGTCCCTACAGAAGATTACACCTGACACCCAAATCCATTCAGGAGATTACACCTGACTCCCAGGTCCTTTCAGGAGATGACACCTGACATCAAGGTCCTTATAGGACATGACACCCGACTCCAAGGTCCTTAAAGAAAATTATACCTGACACACAAATCCTTTCAGGACATGACACCTGACTCCCAGGTCCTTATAGGAAATTACACCTGACACCTATGCAGACACCAGTCGGTTTTGGTGACCTTGACCATGATTTCAAGGTCACCACGACACTTTGACCACTTTTCAAACTTCTGTAAAATCGATATCTCATAAACCATTGCACCCAATATCTTCAATTTTGTCGTCAGCCTACATTGGGTGATTATGCAGACACCAGTCATTTCTTGTAAGTGACCAAAAAATAAAAAGTATTAAATATGTTATAAATATTTCATTCTTCTTTAGCGGCGGGGGACATTGCCATATTAGTGGCAAACACTTGTTATGTTCTGGATTACGCTTTCTTCATACAGATTCTAGTCGGATTCGAACCCACCCACTCAGAGTGAGGCATCTAATCGCAGCACACAATGTCAGCGATCTAACCCACTCAGCCCCTGCTGCTTCCATGAAAGTATTTGGTATATGTCAGGTGATTATTATTGAAAATATATCTTTTTGCAGGGGCAATTAGCTCTTTATAAAGGGAAGGTAATACTTGTGTGTATAAGTATTAACAGACCAGCAGATGATAACACACCTCCGATAGACTAGCGCCACCATAACATCATATGCACCTTTACAACCGCGTCATTTATGTTTTTCTTTGCTTCCTGTCCACAACCCAAAACAATTATAAGATTGACTTCAGGAAAAGGTGAGGTGAGGTGGGGTAGCCTAGTGGTTTTAAGCGTTGGCTCGTCACGCTGAAGGCCTGGGTTCGATTCCCCACATGGGTAAAATGTGTGAAGCCCATTTCTGGTGTCCCCCGCCGTGATATTGCTGGAATATTGCTAAAAGCGGCATAAAATCAAACTCACTCACTCACACTTCAGGAAAAGGGCGCAAGAGCGCTGTCAAACATTAAGTGAAGCGTAATAAAATCCTATACTGTCAGCTCCAGTGTAACCTCCCTTTGACTGTACAACTGGACAAGGAGGCCGGCGTCGACTGCGAAGAGGTATATTGATCGTATAGTGTGTCACGTCTCGAGCCTAGCTGTCAGTCACTATGCCTCAGGGTGGAGTCGTGTGTTGGGGGTTGCTGTTAAAGTGTGCATACACGTCAAATACACTCACGTGATTAGAAAAAGTGCTTCTCTGCAGTGTTGGACGATGTCTGACAGGATAAGTTTTATTGCTCCCTGAAACACACAGACCCCTAATTAAACCCCAGCTTCAGGAGTGGTTGTACATATGTTTAAGAATTCTAATTAACATAGTATGAAGAATGAACATTGTCAGTTTTTAAAGAGTAGAATTAGCAATTATTACGGTGATGGTTATACGTGTTTGCTTGATTGAATGTACATTGAAAGTCGTTTTTAAATATTGGCTTCTTAGATAGACGTATATTGGGAAAACTACAAGACAGTGAAACCGATCTTACAATGCATGTAACTCATTCTGCTTACAGGGACGGATACAGCTTTTTGAGAAAAGGGGTGAGGTGAGGTGAAATTGGGTTTTACGTCGTGCTTGAGAATATTTCGCTCATATGACGACGTGCATGCGTGTGTATGTGTATGTGCGGCTGCTTGTACTAGCCCAGACTGAAGCTGGTTTTATAGTGCTACCTCACTGAGATACCATGCCGCAGTGAAGCATGAATACCCCACCCAGACACATTATACTGACTCCGAGCCGACCGGTCCTTGTTGTACCCATTAATGTCGAGCGCCAGGCAGGGACCAACAAGTACCATATTTTAACGTGTTTTGGTATGACGCGGTCGGGGATCGAACCCGCGACCTTCCGCACTCCGGGCGGACGCTCTTACCTTTGAGAAAAGAGGTGTGTGTGTGTGTGTGTGTGTGTGCGTGCGTGCGTGCGTGCGTGTGCGTGCGTTCGTGCGTTACACACTTCCATTTTCACCCGAGTTTCAATGTCATCTGGACTGCTGTTGGTCACCCCTGCACCCGTCCTCTGAGTTCGCCAGCTGTGTTTCAGTGTCTGACTATTACAGCGACCAGTCCGTGAGAGCTACATCTGAACTGTCCTTGGTCTATCCTTGATCTGTTAAACATGATAACAAACAAACAGTGTTCCAGGGAAATATTTTAAGCTGGTATTTTAAGTTGGATAACTTGTCCCTTTCGCATCTGCGAATAAATTATGTTCAAATCAAAAACGGGTCTTAACGGCTAGATATATTTATGCTGTAATTGACAGGTTTGACGACTATTTGTATAAGTGGATATCCCTTTGTCTTTGGTCAAAGGGTAATAAAACAAATGTAGATTATTTGCTAACATGTTTATTGCCGCTTATCTATGATGTTACATCATGTCTCTAGTTACAAGTTCCGTGTTCTTTATACAATAACATTGTGTTAGAGCATTTTCTTGGGACAACACCGGAGGATATAACTGTTCACACAATATGTCATGTTCATTATTCATAATAATTAATCTACAAGTAGTGGGACCGAAGGTCCACACATGGAGGCTGCTGTCACTGCTGTCTAATTAACTCAAGTACTCGCCAGATTTCCCAAACACTATCACGAAGGAGCTTAATTACAACGAACAGTGATTATATAACTAACAGATTTGTATATGAATGAATGAATGGTTTATTCTCATGCAGATCACACAATAGTGAAATAGAGAAAAATACAAATGTACAGATTTGTTTCATGGGAGCACACGTAGTCCGGTTTTCACATAGTTGCTTATTTTTAACAATAGTGCTTTATGCGTACAAGACATGAGGGATATAAATTTATCTAATGATGGATAATTACAATAACAGTTTGGTACAAATGAGTTTCTTACATTACTTAAACATGGACTATATAACACGAAGTAAAGTTCATCTCCTATTGTGTTCTTACACAGTGTACACAATCTTTCTTCTTTAACAATATTATACCATCTACCTGTTTCTATTGAAAGTTTATGGTTACAAGTTCTAATATAGGTAAGCCAAATGCGTACATTTAATGGAAGGTGTAATAGATAACTTTCAAGGTATGGAGATATAAGTTGCTCTGACCCAGATACTGACAGCCAATAGACGAAGCGTGGTTTGTCAGTCTAGCTTGGTATCTGTCATCATCGATGGTACATTAAAACAATTTAAGTATCCTTCTTTCTTTCTGGATCAGAACTTTTTCAGGGTTATGGTTTCATAAATATAAAACAATGGGCCTTAGTCCACCTGCACTCAATGTTCACTTGAAAGATGAAGTGCTGTTTGTGTGCGGCTCCTTCTACGTTCACATTGTTCACTAAACCACATACAGATTTCTTTCGGATGTTAATTATTACACCCACTTTTTGATGTCTCCTTGAATTGATGTTACTTTTGTTCAGTGGACCAGTTTTCTGCCTACATGTTTGTTACTCGTCACTCTGACTCCGTCTTCCATTTAACGTTCTTTTACCAACCGGCACATTCAGTGTAACGTGCGTGTATCTGCCTACATTCAGTGTAACGTGCATTAATCTGCCTACACTCAGTTTAACGTGCGTGTATCTGCCTACACTGAGTGTAACGTGCATGTATCTGCCTACACTCAGTGTAACGTGCGTGTATCTGCCTACACTGAGTGCAACGTGCATTTATCTGCCTACACTCAGTTTAACGTGCGTGTATCTGCCTACACTGAGGAATACGTGCATGTACCTGCCTACACTGAGTGTAACGTGCATGTATCTGCCTACACTGAGTGTAACGTGCGTGTATCTGCCTACACTGAGTGCAACGTGCATTTATCTGCCTACACTCAGTTTAACGTGCGTGTATCTGCCTACACTGAGTGTAACGTGCGTGTATCTGCCTACACTCAGTGTAACGTGCATGTATCTCCCTACACTGAGTGTAACGTGCGTGTATCTGCCTACACTGAGTGTAACGTGCGTGTATCTGCCTACACTGAGTGTAACGTGCGTGTATCTGCCTACACTGAGTGTACAGTGCGTGTATCTGCGTACACTCAGTGTAACGTTCATGTATCTGCCTACACTCAGTGTAACGTGCATTATCTGCCTACATTCAGGGTAACGTGCATTATCTGCCTACACTCAGTGTAACGTGCATTATCTGCCTTCATTCAGTGTAACGTGCATTATCTGCCTATACTCAGTGTAACGTGCATTATCTGCCTTCATTCAGTGTAACATGCATTATCTGCCTTCCCTCAGTATAACGTGCTTCTATCTGCCTACACATTCAGTATAACGTGCGTGTATCTGCCTACATTCAGTGTAACGTGCGTGTATCTGCCTTCATTCAGTGTAACGTGCATTATCTGCCTACATTCAG